AAATATCTTGTAGCGACTCAATTCTACATGTTCTATTGCTACATATATGTAGACACAACATGTCTGCTGCTAATTGTACTCACAATAAATTCTTCCTAAAGTCAACAATAAACCGAAATACATAAATATTAATGTACCGGTAATTAGAATGTTATTTTAGTTGATAATCTATTGGATAAGCAAGGATATACCTATGTAATCTAGAAACAAAATTGCATCATTGTTTGAGTCACAAAAAACAAAACTCAAGTACAGTTTCCACTACTAGTGCTATGACTTGTACATGTATATACATGATATATATTATAATAGTTATTTAATAAAAGATAATTTCAAATGCTTTTGGCGACCTACAATATTGGCTTGACTTCTTGATTTTACTACTGGCTACCTGGAAAATAATACTTGTAGCCATATGGCTACTTGGTAAAAACTTAAACTTTGAGACCTGTTAATAAAATTTTACTTCTCGTTACAATGTGTTAAATATGTTGAAATATTTGGTCAGGAACAGATTCATACATTAAAGATGTCAGGTGCTTATGAACAAATGAACCATCCTAACAGTCCTGCCTTATATGCTGTTACCATGGTAACCTGAGAGCCAAAAATGTATATCCTCTTAAGCCTGCATTAATGTGAACATGAGAAATAGTTTTCACCGGCTTAGGAGACACCACAACACACCACTGACAGGTCTGCAGCAAACATTCACTGTCACACGTCTGTGGAGCACAGGTATGCCATTAATCCTGGTTCTACCAAGGATGTGAAGCTCCATATCATGTCATACCCTAAAAACGAGGTCAATTACCATGGCAACCATAAAGAGAATGAACAACTAAATAAATATATATACATAACCCATGTATACTTGATACACTCCAGCTCTGTTCATTCAGAAGTGCATCAGCTCATATTAATGACATTAGCACCATAGATTACAAATCATATCCATGGAGTGAGGGAGCGAGTCAACATTTAACGTCACATTGTGACTAGAAGCTATAAATTAATAATACATATCTTTTAGACTTAATAAAACCTGTCATCCATGGACAGTAAAATAACTAGAATATCACTGATTTGATTCTAAAACTAATGAGAATATTTAAAACAATAAATTATCAGTAAACAGTACAATATAAACGGGCTAAAGATTGCCAGCAGCTGAAGGTAGATCACACTACTAGGGTCCATGGGGACTTACAGTACATTTGCCATCTGCATGGACCCCACCAGGACTGACATCCTCCCTTCAGGTGTTGGTGACCATTGACAAATTTAGCCAAAATTTAAAAGAACACATATCCTACAATTAAAAATGTGGCAGAAATAAACCTACTTTTAATGATGTGGTCTTTTACATCCATAGAAGACAAATTACATTTTCTTGACATATTACTTTTGACACCATCCCCCAAAGATATTTTTAGCTGTTTGTTTGTGACCTGCTGGAAAGTCACAAGGTATGACTTCACAATTACCACCTGTTGATTGAAAAGTCATGCTTATTGTTCATGTTGTTAGGTAGTGCTTCATGAAAGGACGATGTTTTGCTGAATTGTTGCTATGACAAGGCATATATACTATGCATACCAGACATACATCATAACTATACATACCAGACATACATCATAAACTTATATCAACATGATCTCAGACGTGCTGGTTGATCTAGTGATGGGATTGCAGGGGGTGCAACCCAACTTGTTTCCCAGTCACCGGACCTGTCACACCATTCAGCGTCATACCTTGACCAACTAAGGGCTCAGGGGACCCTCAATAATTAATTTCAAGGGTCCTTACAGGATATACGAGGGTCCTGTATTTTTAAGTAATGAAATGGTGTTGTGTACTCAGAGCTCCAGATAACTTTTTGAGAAATTGAGTTTTTACTTTAGGGTTTCTATTTTAATTGGGTTATTGAATTTTTTATTGGGTAACCAATAATTTTTAATCATCTATTCATAGTGGGTTTTTTTCCCAAAATTAGTGAATTTTTTAAGATTTTTAAAAAATGAAATAATGTTTTAGATGAATATCTGTTCTAAATATATAAGCTGGACTCCGAAAGTAAATTAGCTCGTAATTATGTTTCGGAGATTAGCTCCTTTGAACGCATGCTGGAAAAGCTTCTTTGGGTTGAGCTGTATTTATACATTTGAGTTTTTCATTTAACACGTTTTAATGCATGCGTTTCTGTACTCAAGTTAATTGAAAGTAATTGGGTTTTGAATATTTTGTGGGGGTATTTTGTGCAAAGACGCTCTTATCTGTCGCTCCCGTACTTTACCATAGATTTGATAATTACTATAATTATAGGACCTTTACATTTCTTGTAAAAAGATTTGTTCAATGATATTAACTGGTATTCCAGAGGATCTATCATGATGCATTATATATTTTTTTCTGCATCCATTCTATACATTTGTGCATACTGGAAGCAAGTTTCTACACCATTGAAAACCCTGATCCTACCATTAGGTGTTCTGTTAAAAAACAAAATAACTATAAGCGTGCATCTCAGCAGCATAAGGACAGGAATGTCAGACTGCTCTCTGTCAAGCTATTGATCCTCAGATTAGAGTCGAGGTGAGGTTAAATTAGGTTTAACGTCGCTTCCAAGATTATTGCGCTTATATAGCGACGTGCATGCACGTGTGTGTGTGTGTGGCTGCTTGTACTAGTCCGGACTGATTAATAGCGCTAGCCGACTGAGATACCATGCCGCAGGTTAACATGGATACCCCACTCAGACACACTATACTGACTCCTAGCCGACCAGTCCTTGTTTTAGCCCTTTAATGCCGAGCGCCAGACAGGGTAACAACAAGTACCATCTTTTAACGTTTTTTGGTATGACGCAGCCGGGGATCGAACACCCTGGACCTTCCTCTCTCCGGGCAGACTCTCTACCACTAGACCACGGAGGCGGTCTCAGATTAGAGATACTATATATATATATATATATACATGGTTGTGACACACTACATATCTACATTGTAGATATGGCTGCAATGAAATTGCATCAAAATGCTTTGCAGACCATTGTGACATCACTGGTTACCATGACATCACAATCAAATGACATCACTAATGGCTCTGCTACTGAAGCTGTTAGCAGTACTTTTTACACTTAAGACACTGCTTATTACTGTCTACAAACTGAAAAAGTTGGAACAATGATGAAGATAAATAAAATCTCACTCTCGTGTCTTTTGATATCAAATGTATCAACATTTGTTGATAAAAGTGGTAAAACTCCTCAAAGTTTTTTTCACTTTTATCAACTCATGTTGATATATTTGATATCAAAAGACACGAGGGTGAGATTCTCTATTTAAGTCCCTATCAGATTGATAAGTGAGAATGGATTATTCCATGTGGCTATGAAATGTGAACTATTTTACACGATAATTATCCGTGATTGTGAAATAGGTTGGAAAATTACCTGTGAACAATTATTGGGCATAGGCATTCCCTACCCTCTAAAATGATAAATTATGTGGTTTATGCTGTCAGCCTGAAATGTTTATAAATGACAGAAATATTTTTCCAGAATTTAATTGCCCATAATTAAGGGTGCATATAACACATGAGTGCATATTTTACACGAATAAATAAGTCTTGTGTACATTGATCAATCGGAAGGGGTGCTAATTGGGTTTGTTCAATTGAAAATATATTAGCAAATATCGCCGTGGGTGCTTATTAGAGTGGGGTGCTTATTACGTCGTATACGGTAATAAGCACTATAATAAAAAGGACAACTAAGAATGAAATGTCTACAGGAGAAAGAGGGAGATATGGTTGTGTATTGATGGACTGGCGTGATTGAAATCAATCTGAATATCAACAAGTCTAATTACCTAACTGTGAAGCCCATTTCTGGTGTCCCCTGCCGTAATATTGCTGGAATATTGCTAATTGCGGCGTAAAACCAAACTCACTCACTCACTAATTACCTAACATTCCTTTTCTTAAGACTGGGTCTATTTTGTAGAGGAATGAATGTATAGCATATATTCAGAAAATATACGCCAATTTTACTCAGTGATTATTATGCTGACATAAACTTTCTAACTGTAAACTGTCTACACATGATTGAGTGAGTTGGGTTTAACATCACTTTGAACAATATTCCAGTTATATCACAGCATGACAGCTTAATGTGGGAGGAAAGCCTGAAGTGATGAAGGTCTCAGATGTTTACCACTTCGGTGAAACCCATGGACATTGGTATGGTGCTGACAAACCTAGAAACAATCAGGGCGAATCAGGACCCAAACCCACGATCACAGCTAGGTTTCTGGTGCGCCCAAAGGACACAGCTCTGTACAGCAAAATTGCAGCGCCTTAGACGACTTGGCCACACATGCAACTGTGTACAAGTACATGATCATATGTCAGATATTTATGGGAAAGTTTCCGGCAAATAAATGAGTGTAAGTCCTTTGCTCATGTAGCAGATGCATGTATGTCCAACCGTTGTTTTATACCATGCCAAAACTGTGATTATATAAACATATTTAACTTAGGGGTTGAGTAAAAGAATGGTTGATGATGACAATGGTTACATGCTTATATTAAACAGTCAATTGTCAAAACATTTTGATATAAATATATATAATTTGAAGAGTTTCTATAATTTTCCTAAACATTATAGTAAAATTGAATTATTAACAGTTACAGTAACATTTATAAACCAACGGGAAGGATCTTAAATTGGGATAATTGAAATAAGACACAGTAAACAAAAGTCAAAACTTGTTGATGCCTTCAGAACGCAAACACCCAAAGCGACGGCGATATAGGCCTATATATTTATAGATGTACACAACAGGATTTCTTCCTCATTTATGTGTGCACCGACCTGTAAACGCCCACATGTTAACATTTAACAGGCTACGCAGATGTTAAGATATCTATCTACATAGTAAGTCCATGACATGGCGGACGTCACAGTGGTGATGTTAGATCGATCACACAGGACATACCCGACTCGGTGTAGTCTCGCTGTTGATGTCCGATTTGACAACCGGCGATGTCTTCACCCCGTTCGCCTCTTGGCCCGACTGCGGCAACTCGCCCTCTCCAGTCATTGGCCCGAGTATTTTCCCACAAACACCTCCAGCAAACAGTATTTCACGAAGTGTTGTACCTGAACGCCATAACTAGCTTAGCTCCCGTCCGCCTACACGATAAGATGACTTGGTTCAGAAATCTGTTGACACTAGCGAAAACTGTAAACAAATAGGCTCAATCTGGTTGGTAAGAAAAGTGTACTGATTTCGGAAACGAATCCGGATTTAGCAGGTGCGCGTTTTAACAAGAACTTGTTAAACATTTTGTGGACTTTGGTTTCTGTTTCTATATTTAGGACATCGAAGTAGGGAAAATATAGTTGGTATTGAAACTACTAATTGCAGTCTAATTGGTATTTACTATACTTTGAATTTATCTTGATGACGGGGAGCTATAATATCCCGAAAAATAGTGTTCTGGGGCCAAACAAAGACCCTTTCGTTCAAATAATATTGATGCATTACTTATTGAAAGACAATTTAAGAAAATCAAGCAACAGGAAGACTGGCGGGTTTTTTTCAGAATAATCATTAATCAATTAAACTGCAAATTTTTTTCTTTAAAAAACTTCTCTATTTGTCTAGTTTAGTAGGTCAGAGTATGGATAAAATCTGTTTTCGCGAACAATTTCAAATATATTCCCCGATATGGCCGTCGCATGTACTGTGTGAGAATTTTATAGTCAGGAGGATTTTGTTATTATGTGGACAACTGTGTATGGGAAATTAAGCTGGGTAATCGGATTTAGGAACAAAGGGTCACTATTTTCAAACATTGTACTTAGTGTATAGTGCATGAAGATATATATAATTATATTATGTATAATAACAAGGGGTCTTAAATGTACTTTTCTATTTGAGATATGTTTGAAAGTTAAATCTGACAGTCTTTATTCTCCATAATTCACGAAAGTGGTAAAAGAGCACACACTAGAGCACACCAGGTTAAACATTCAAAAGAACACGAGACATATCATTTTGAACGATTTCACATAAGCTATCAAATGTAGATCTATAGTTCCAACCATATGACTTGTGTCTGTTTTGCTTGTTAACAGTACAATGGTTACGTGCAGTTATCAATAATGAATACAGTTACGTCAAAGGAACAGTGTTTTGACTACAGCTACATCCAGCTATAGATTTTCTTCCTGGTAAATAGAAAACTGTCTGTCATTATTGTCAGGATAATCCACAAATCACCGATTATTCTCAAAATAGTCATCTGCCTGGTCCCTGTATGCTCTAACGATCAAAGGGAGGTAACTCCCACTGTTTACGCCCCCACTAAATGTGTTTGGATAAAGACTGGTCATTTGAACAAACGCGTAAAGCTGCTAAATGACACAAACGCTTCCCTTAACAGTACATATTCCATCACTGTCAAACCTATATTAAATTGGGTGTCCACCTTCTTCAAAGTTACATATAGTTTACTGCAATTCCAAAATGTATTTTCGAACAGTGTGTTTGAAAGTATTTACAATTAACATCTAACCCGTAATTACTAAATTAAGCTCGTCAGTGTCACGTGTTTTTACGTCAAAGTGAAAATCATAAGTAATGAAGACAACTCATTAACATAATACTTGATAATAATCAAACCCGCACTCGACAGTGTTTGATCGAAGCGTTAAGCTTAAACATTCTCAATTGATTTTTTTTTTAAACTTTTGTTTTATCAACTTTACTATTTGCGCCATGCAGGCTTAATTACATATATTGAAGCGACCCATGCAACAAGCCACGATGTGTGTTTTGTAAGCCAAATGATTCACCCGTCAGTATTATATGTCTCATAACAAACAGATAATACATGTGTGGGATGGATCAGTAAAATTAACAGTGTTGTAACATATATACATAGCGGCATTGACCCGTGAAGATCCGGGTTACAATAGGTCTTCAGCAACCCACGCTTGTAAGAGGCGACTAACGGGAACGGGTGGTCAGGCTCGCTGACTTGATTGATGCATGTCATCGTATCCCAGTTGCGTAGATCGATGCTCATGATGTCAATAACTGGATTGTCTGGGCCAGACGTACTCGATTATTTACATATTGCTGAATGTGGCTTTAAACAACAAACAAACAAATAAACCTAGTGACAATAGCTAACCCTAACATTTGTTTTTGATTGTATAACGCCGCACTCAGCAATATTCCACCTACATGACGAACCTAATGAAAACAGGTGACGTAAATGTTGCATAATCTGCACATATGTTAAAACAGATGACGGAACTGTTGCATAAACTGGACTGATGGTAAAACAGATGACGGAACTGTTGCATAAACTGGACAGATGTTAAAACAGATGACGGAACTGTTGCATAAACTTGACAGATTTTAAAACAGATGACGGAACTGTTGCATAAACTGGACTGACGTTAAAACAGATGACGGAACTGTTGCATAAACTGGACTGATGGTAAAACAGATGACGGAACTGTTGCATAAACTGGACTGACGTTAAAACAGATGACGGAACTGTTGCATAAACTGGACAGATGTTAAAACAGATGACGGAACTGTTGCATAAACTGGACAGATGTTAAAACAGATGACGGAACTGTTGCATAAACTGGACAGATGTTAAAACGTGGAAGGTTTTAAAGGGTTGGTGTTGACTCCAACTAACCATTTCAACGATTGTAACCACGTCGCCGTTCTCTAACACACACATGTAGGACCTACGTGGTATGGTCCACATACACGGTTAGCTGTGGAGGGGTAACAGTAAACATACAGGGAAATTATGCTACATGACCTTGTCTCCCTATCCAGTCAATCACTAGACGGTATCGCCACTATCTATGCCACAGCGTGACTCCACTACTCGCTGTGCAGTGTAAGGGACCAGTTCAAACGTTCAACGTCGGAGAAAAACTTAATTCCTTTAAGTTTTGAGACACAACCCAAAGAGACCCTGAGAGACTGTCCCAAAACAAGATTATTATGACACAAAAAGAACTTAAAAGACCATTACAGTGTGGGTTTTTGTTGTTTAACGCCGCTCACAGCAATATTCCAGCTATTAAGACTGTAAATGATTAAGTCTGGCCCAGACAATTCAGTGATTGACATCATGAGCATCGATCCACGCAATTGGGATCGATGACATGTATAAACCAAGTTAGCGAGCCTGACCTCCCGATCCCGTTAGTCGCCGCTTGCCATCCAGTCTAGTGGATATTATTTTGTCACTCTGAATCTGCATGTATACATCTAAATATGCACAGATGAGGCGGTTTCTCTGGTCTCCTATAGATCGTCGATAAACCTGAAGCTTATGTTAAACTTCTTGGCTAAACTACCTTGTTTTGAATTTGCCAATCCGAACATGAATTCCGATTCATAAAGAAACAGATCAACAAGAAGGGGAGCCCGTTTTGCCTGAATGTCTTACCCCAAAATGTATGTAGATGTTATCAACAAGGAAGTCAAGCTTTTCAAATATTGTTTTCTCAGTAAACCTGGGAATCATGTAACCGAGGTAACATAGAAAATTCATGTGTTTTATATATTTGTGAAAAATATCCTACCTTCGCGTAAGATATATTCCTGTAAAGCTAAACATGTATAGTGTTGAGGTAATGAGAGTTGTTGCTTTTTATCTAAAGCATGTGTTTGACATATGTTAATATAAATTCTTTCTTAAACACTCATGTGTATTTTAGAATGTTGTACTACAATTGTACTATAGGTCATATAGACCAGACCGCCTCCGTGGTCTAGTGGTAGAGCGTCTGCCCGGAGAGCGGAAGGTCCGGGGTTCAATCCCTGGCCGCGTCATACCAAAAAGCCGTTAAGAGATGGTACTTGATGTTACCCTGTCTGGCGCTCGGCATTAAGGGGCTAAAACAAGGACTGGTCGGCTCGGAGTCAGTATACTGTGTCTGAGTGGGGCATATATGTTAAACTGCGGCCTGGTATCTCAGTGAGCTAGCATCAATCCGGACTAGTACAAGCAGTCACACAAACACACACACACGTGCATGCACGTCGCTACATAAGTGAATAATCTTGGACGCGACGTTAAACCCCATTATACCTCACCTCACCATATAGACCAAAATATAATAAATTCTGTTCTGTTCTGTATCCTAGTTATGTCTAGAAAGTATAATTACCATGGAACTTGATCTTTACTTGTTTCTTAAGCCTGTGGCCAATGTAAAAACAAAAAATAAATTATAAATTGTTAATTGAAATGAAACTTTCATTAGGGTGACATAAAAAGAAGTTTGCGAAATTTTTGATTGGCGGATTCGTAAACCAAGTAAGAAAACCATGCCAAATAGCCATGAATTATTGTCGAAAGTAAATGAAGTAGGTGTATAGAAGCGGACGTAATATCTACCTTGCATCCCTCTCCATAAGAGCAGGACATGCTTACCCTTTTCGCCAACGTCATCATTGATTTTTAGTGATCCATTCATATAGTTTTCATCACAATTTTGCCTTTCAAATTGTTTCCCTTGAAAATTCTTGCATTGTGTTTTGACAATGGTTAGTTGTCAGGAATTATAACTATCTAATTTAAGCACTTTTGTGGAAGTTACTATATTTAGATGCTTTTGGAGTCAAGTGTGATCTGGAATGTTCTAGAACAACTAAACTAATCCAGCACTGTATAGAAACTTCTAAAAGGGATTTAGACTATATATGCCTCTCGCATCTCACATTAAATCAAGACCAGCGGTTGTGTGAAGATCATCTTTTCACCCTGGATAAACAGTGTATATAATTATTATTGACTTTGATACTATTACCACTGCCATTGTAATTGAACTGCCATTGGAATTTGTACTGCCATTCTATTGTGATTAATTTGCAGTAATTTATATTGATTTGCAAACCTAGTAAATGTTATAATACAATTGTAACATTATAACATTTCTTTGTTGTTTGTTGGTTTCACACAGAATTCTATTACGTAATTTCTGGGTTAACGTATGGTTTCAATTTGGAAATCGACACGTAAGAACATACAGTCGATGGCACAGCCGAACTATAAATGGGTGATGGTTTATGAATACCATATGACTACGTTCTGTGTTTTATGGTTTCTAACGTGCAGCCGAGGTTGCTCACCAGCAGATGGATATATGTCTGTTGTTTGGTGCCACTACAATTCTGATGTCTAACGATGGTTCAGTTGGTTGGTTTGTTGTTTAACGCCGAACTCAGCAATATTCCAGCTATATATGACGGCGGTCTGTAAATAACCGAGTCTGGACAAAACAATCCAGTGATTGGCATCATGAGCATCGATCCACGCTATTGGGATCAATGACATGCATCAACTAAGTCAGCGAGCCTGACCACCCGATCCCGTTAGTCGCCTCTTACGACAAGTATAGTCGCCTTTTTCGGCAAGCATGGGTTGCAGAAGACCTATTCTACCCCGTATCTTCACACAGACATGTATGCACAGGTAAGATACAACTGTCAACAAATACTCCTTTTAGAGAGTTTTAGATCGATGTTTTCTAGCATTTGAACAAGAGTTTGCTTTGTCCCACGCTCATTTTCCCAGCTTACAACAGTACAAATATGTCCACAGTCATCTGTTTGAGTCAGCGACTTGATTTTCTGTTGAAGTTAAAAAAAGTCCAGACTACTAGACTTCTAGCCATATTAATGTATTCAAACAAGGCGGAAGTCCAAACTTGCGAAGGTAAGAATGACTTACATTGTAGTTTACACAAAGTTATGTTTCAATTACAAGTGAAACCGAATAGTGATGTTCACGCGTTAACGTCATGCCCCTGGACGGTTGGTATGCCGTCACGGTCTTTCTGCTGATGGGATGACCAAGAGCATGTCGTCCCGATGGCGTCACTGTGAGGTATCTGTATTTAGGGGAAGGAGCCGTAAATGCCGGTCTTCCTGAGGGGTACTAGCTCTGGGTGGACCGCAACCAGGCCTCTCTGCTGTTCCACCTGTCTGTCCCAAACCGGCTGACTAACCTCAGTATCGTCATTCTCGGACAGTCCATTACCCCATCAACATGGGCCCGAGGTTCCCCCATATCCAACATTCCCATTGCCCTTTCTCTCTGTTCTAATGTTAATCAAGGCATGACCACTTTGGGCAGCTGAATGTGACAATGCCAAAGAACATTTTAGCACCCGTTTTATACCAGATTTGCATCCGGGTTTTCATCCAGGGGTTATGCCTTTTTCCGAGCAATAAGGGCAATTTCACACCCAAGTCGTGCATTTTGCGCACGCCAGTGATAGGAAGGAAGTTGTGTTTAGGCGATACGTTTTAATCTATATTAAAAGGTATTTTGACATCAGAATTATATTCAAGAATGCAGAATGTAAATCAGGTTAAGGTGTTTTGAAAAACATAAGCTAAGGCACCGGTCTGTGTCTGACTGGTGCAATGCGTGTGGGCAAGTGACCAGAGGGAATGATGTCACAGGTTTGACTTGCCAGATTCCTTCAGACTGCCACAAGCAGTAATATCAAATCTACTCACTCTTCTGGAAATATAGCCATCTCAGGTTATCACATGCGGAAAGATAACAACATTTCATAAAAACAACAACACCTTAATCATTTCCTTTCTTTTATTTGTGAATAATGTCAACTGGGTGTCAAAATTTTGACATAACAAATGTCAATTATGAAAATATTGCCCTGGGAATTGTCTGAAATTACAAAATCTACCAATCTTGACATACATACATAGAGACAATACAAGGGAAGCAGGTGGTTTACAAAGTCCATCCCTTATAATCCAGTGTATTATATCTCCATTCTATTACCATGGACCCATTCACCACCATAGCTTTGTTACAGAAGTGACATCACCATCTCTCCCATGACTAACTTAGTACAGAGTTCAAAATGTGCTCAAAACTTGGTAACAAGCGGGTCCAGAGTAAATGTATTCCTCAAAAGAAGTTAAGGATCACCCAATTCTTTCACATTAACTGTAGTACTATGAAAGAAAATGGTAGTTCTTAACTTTTGTTATTTTGTACAGATCATTATAGGAGATACAATACACAGGATAATTGAGGATGTAATACATACAGCAATATTTTCAGTCATGCAGTTTCACCATCTGACAAGGCGCACTATAGCACTTACTTCATGTTTACAGCACTTGGATACATACTCTTCAAGAGTCCATCATTGCAGCTATACATCGTCCATGCATGTCAAGTCTATACATATACATGGTTGTTCCTTGTCTCGCATAATGTCCGCAAATATATCACTATGTTCTTGTTATACACAATACATGTCAACAAAAACAAACTGACGAGTCAGCAGTTAGCATCTTTACACAACAGGACAAAAATAAGATCAGGATTTATCCAGGAATTCTTAGTAAGTATGGTTTTACACAGCTTTTAGCAATATTCCAACAACATCACAGCTGGGCACACCAGAAATGGGCTTAACACATTGTACCCAGTCAGGAATTGAACACGGATCTTCGGGGTCAGGAATCTTTAACATATGTCTCCTTGTGCACCCTACCTGGATCTGGGAAATCTAATTAACATCTTCGAAAAATATCTAAATACGGAATAATTTAAATGCAAAATGTGAACAAATGGATCACATCAGATTAATGAAGGGGAGTTAAGTATTCTATAATAAATTCATTCAGTTAAATACACAGACATGCCAAAGCAAGAGAATCTCAAAACCACAAACTGAACACATCAAGGGACATTTGGCTTCAACTTAATATCCAATACCAGGTGGGAAAACCTGGATAAATCCATGAGGCAAGGTGAAAACACTCAATATCTAAATGTCATGCCTTGTCTTGTTTGCAATGATTATTGAGGGAGAAAATACAGTGTGGCAAAGAATGGTTGATCTACAGCCGAGTAAAATATAATAATGAATACATGTTGAAGAATCCTTACTTACTCTTAGGTGAACCTTAGTCCTCATAAGGGAAATAATTTTGGCACATTGTTTATAATCTACAATTTGTTGTCAAGAAAGTATCAACTGAAGATGTGGCTTGAATTATATACATTTACAAAATCCATGAATACAAATTTGTCAAACAAATTAAGTTTAACTGAATAAGTATTTTCAATACATACACTCTCAATATTTAAATTTGTTGTCAAGAGAGTATCAACTGAAGATGAGGCTTGAATTATATACACATATAAAGTTCATGAATACAAATATGTCAAACAAATTAAGTTTAACTGATTTTAAGTATTTTCAATACATACACTCTCAATATTTAACTTACGCCATACTAATTTACAACTAGTTAATTCCCCTATTGTCTTCATATTGTCAATCTTTGCAACTTTTCAAATGATCCACAGAATACCATGAAGACAATGAAAGCAACAAGGTTCTTTACAACACTGAGATGGTACCTGCCTGGATTGTAACTCGTTGAAGTTCAGTTTGAGCGTTACTCCAGAATGGAAAAACAAATTATATACAAACATGGAATGCATCATCTGGTAACTCACACTGTCATTGGTTAGAAAAAGACATACATTTATTACATTATTTATTAACAAAGTGTGCAACAATTATGAAAAATGACAAACATTTGGTCCAATTCCCCACCTCAGAGAATGAGAAAGTAATACCCAGTAGTATGAGGTTACTTACACATTAGACAGACATTAATCTAGGGCAACATTGATCCACAAAGTCCCCCTGCATTGTCATGACATTCGGCCCATTCAGTGGCCTTTTAACAAACTCCACACCCAAACGGATAAAATATCGTTATGTAACTCACTTTCAAGAATTCATTAACGCCTTAATCTAGGATCTAGCACCTGCTTTCACCTGACAAACTGATAATGCAGTGTTAGAAATTAAAAGGTGGGGTGGTGGTTGTAGGTGGAAACAAGGAGTGGCTACATGGACCCTCTCAATCTATCACAGTTTACTATCGGTACTATGGCAGGAATGCCTGGACTGTCGGCCTAATTCAAATGCTGTAACAAAGTAGGCAAAGGTTACCAATGTTCACAACTACCAAATAATTACAAGTCAGTATTGTTGCATATCGTGATACCCTCAATCGCCTTTTGACTACCAAGCAATGCATCATTGAATTGCTTCCACCCTTGGTCTTCTGTCGACACTCAAGCATTTTTTTGGCTTTCTGCTGCTGTCAAAAGTTTAGCTCACACAAGAACTATGATATAACCTATTAGATATGTAATTTGAATCAATTTCTTTCCAATACACATGGTAAGTAGTTTATTGTCCTTTGAAACTGATATACCTTGTTTTGGCAGAGGTGATGTAAGGAGGAACGACTGATGAAATGTCAGTGTTACACATAAACATACAAGAAAAAGTCGTAAGAGGCGACTAACGGGATCGTGTGTTCAGGCTTGCTGACTTGGTTGATGCATGTCATCGTATCCCAATTGCGTGGATCGATGCTCATTATGTTAATCACTGGATTGTCTGGAACAGACTCGATCATTTACAGACCAGCTGGAATATTGCTGAGTGATTGGCATCATGAGCATCAATCTACACAATTGGGATACAATGACATGCATCAACCAAGTCAGTGAGTCTGACCACCAGATCCAGTTTGTCCCCTCTTACATTACGTATAGTCGCCTTTTAGGGCAAGCAGGGTTTGCTGAAGACCTATTCTAACCCGGATCTTACCAGGTACAGTAGATATTAGTTTTGGCATTTTAGCACTAATTCTGATTGCCTGAAGAGCTTTTCTAAAAACATTTTGCAAACTACCAACTCATCACAACATTCAATAAATTATGACATTTAGCTATTGTCGATTAATCTTAATGTTGGGTAATAAAGACAACTCACCTGACACTTGGAGTGAGTGAGTGAGTGAGTGAGTGAGTGAGTGAGTATGGTTTTACGCCGCTTTTAGCAATATTCCAGAAATATCACGGCGGGGGACACCAGAAATGGGCTTCACACATTGTACCCATGTCGGGAATCGAACCTGGGTCTTCGGCGTGACGAGCGAACGCTTTAACCACTAGGCTACCCGACCGCCCCCCTGACACTTGGAATTATCGATTATGACTTATATAAACTAACAGGTTACATCCCCTTCCCCAGGCTTGAGAAATACAACCTTAAATCTCTTGACAGAACCCATACTTCCTTGTTTGCCAGAAGCTATTGTCTTTCACCAGTTGTCCTTACCCTTACCAGACCTGCTTACCCACCAACAGGAACATATGATGAAGAAGAATAACATATATTTGTAATAAAATTCTAAAAAGAACCCAACCCACATTTCCATACATGCTGATGTGAACTCTCTGAACATGCAAAAAAAGGTTATCTCTTAAATATACGTGATCAGAAAATTAAGGGGAAACGGTCAAATTTTCTTCAAAGGTATAATTAATACAGAGGCAGTAGTAAATAGAACACTCTTGTGGCATAAAGCGAAGCATACAATGCGAGGCCGACATTCAACAGTGTCGGTATTGCTAAGGTTAATAATGCTTAGGTCTCACAATCATAGTATAAAGACACAATATTAACTGGTGTCACTGGTTATGTAGTTAATCCATAATATATAGAATTACTAATAGCTATTATTTACATCTATACAATCATATACTGTGCAGTGTTCAAAATTAAGTGGATCGTGGGTTCCTTGGGGTTTTCTCCCAAAGTATTTGAATCTAGGGACCCCTAAATCTTTACCTTTTAGCATGGCTATGACGAGGACCCTCACATCTCACGCTCAATTTAAAATACTGCTGTGCGTCTACAGTGACTAGTTTTTCATGAACACATGGAAATGTCCCTCAAAGGAAGACATGGTCAGTGGCGACAGGTCGGTTCTTTGTACAAATGTTGCATGTAAATCCCTTCATTCAAGAACTGGTTTAAAACCTTAAGTGACACTTTGTTTTATTTCTTGGCTTACAGATTCGACCACTCCCAAAAGCCACAATCAGAAATAAAATACAAACAGCATAAACATCAAGGCAAACAAACATAAGAAACTATGAACTTTTAAATAAAGCTGATCAAATGCATTGTTTGTAGTATGTTACAGTACAAGTACTAAACATCCTGCACGTAAAACAGAATTAGCATTTATTTTCTTCCCACTAAACTGACTGACCCAAACAATGTAATGCCAAATAAAACAAAATATTGAGCTACATGAATTTCTTATTGTGGTCAACCCGTGCTAGGTATGCTCATTGCTCCAGTGAAAATCTGTGAACCTAAAACACTAAAAACTGTGACCTAAGTGATGGGAATCACATGAGATCTAGGTAACTGAGTATTTGAATGGTGCAAGGCGTTAAATATATTTAACGGGGCTGGCAACTCTGGATGTCATCATTTATCTTGATATTGATGTAACAATTGATATCTAATGTCAACACTGCATCACTACAAGTTTATGAATATTGATACTTAATATGTAAATCAATTTACCAAACCATTAGTAAAATACACACTACTTCAATTCCATTATTTTTAAGGGTATTAAAATAATTCATAATAGAAAAAAAATTATCTGTTCTTAAAAGAATTATTCACATATTTCAGATTCCTTTTATTTGTGACTTCACCTTTTAATTCTTCATACAGAGTCATGCCTTGCACACAAAATCCATTCCGACAATTTCAGGTCCAAATGTTGTTTTCCCGAATAAGAACGACAACAATAAAGTCAGTACAATTTCTCATCATGAGGCAAAGTGTTGTTCAAATTCTCCTAAGAATTATGGAAAATTATCTGTATTTAAATATATTGATACCTAACCCATCAGAAAAACATAAACTTAAGAAACTTGCATATGGTTAACTGCTAATCCTTGTCAACTTGATCCTAGAGTTTGTGAGTTAATATTGCGTAGCCTCACAAGCACATTGGCAGACAGTTGGGGGAATCCTAAACCTTACACGAGACATTACAACAGTGGGATAAAGCAGCAGTAGGGCAGTGATCAGCAGACAGCACCATATGAACACAGCGGGCAAGGGGTCATGGACTCAGCAGGCAGTGTCAGCAGCAGCAGCAGGTCATCTAATCCTCCTCGTCACTAGCAGCCTCGAACATCTGCACAGCATTACACCAAGAAATGAAATACACATCACGCCAGTCTCATCTTCATCGTGCATACACAATTGAATCACCATATTCACAACCTGTTGTTTTTCTTTAAATCAAATCATTTCAAGGTTCTAAAGTACAGCTACCATTTCTTTGTTCAATGAAATTCAATATGAAGCCTAGTAACCATTAAAGTTTACAAAAGTTTAAAAAAAACAAGACATGACAAGCAAAGTCACAAGCACAGGTTGCTGAAGGCCTTTTAACCCGGATTTTCATGGGTCTGGAAAAAGTGAACTACTACACACAAGAAAACTTTCAAAACATCTAAAAGCTGATAGCTATTGGTTTTCAGGGATTGACTTTTACAGTACAAACAAATTCCCGCCAAGTTACTATTTGCTGATGCAGGCAAAGTTTAGGAACCAAGATCACTGAAAACAACTCACCCCTAGAAGGTTTTTTGGTTCGATGCCTGGCTTTGCAATTTCTTCAAGATCTTCTAGGCAGGGCCCCTCGATGTTGTAGACCGGAGTAAGTGATCGGTCACTGTCTATACTTGTCTCTAGGCTCGAACAGGGACTCCCAATAATCCTCCTGCAGAAAGAACCAATGATTACATCAAAGTCGGACCCTATCTGAGGTACTTAATTAAATAAATTTATGTGTGAACGCATTACTTGATTAATGTAACAGTGGCATGTTTTGGCAATGTGTTCTCACTCAGCTTCATCATCAAACTGAACTTTAGAAATATACTCAATATCAACATGTTTGTTAAATGACATCCATCAGATCATGTTGACGGGTAGTTTCATAATAAACAATGTGTCAATGGTTGACACTTGTTTGTGACAAGGCTGCAAATCAGGGAATGAAATCTTGAAGTGTTTCTGACATGAGTGAGTGAGTGAGTGAGTGAGTGAGTGAGTGAGTGAGTTAGCAATATTCCAGCAATATCACGACGGGGGACACCAGAAATGGGTTTCACACATTGTACCCATGTCGGGAATCGAAACCTGGGCCTTCAGCGTGACGAGCGAACGCTTTAACCACTAGGCTTTCGACCGCCCCGTTTCTGACATGAGAATTACCTGTGAACTGGCTCTTATAGATGAGCCCAATCACAGGTTAATCATGAGTCATAATTTCCGTCATTTTAATATACATCCAAGGTAATTTAACACATTTCTTGATTTGAGCTTGTAGTTTATATTTCCTGTTTTTGCAACCTATTTAACTCTTTCAACACCGTAGGCCGGTTATCCGGCCAAGAAGCATCGAGTCCCCAGACACCGCAGGCCGGTTATCCGGCCAAGCCGTAGTCACGTCAAAATAGTACTATACTTTTGTGGACCTACCTGTAATATCATTCATTTATTAAATCTATCACATTTCACAATGTCTGAAATACATATTCCATTTCAATTTAACATTTTTTATCGTTAAATTAAAAAATTATTCACTATTTCCCGCGATGTTATTGAAAATAAAATTCTCAGACACACATTTCGACAACAGGTCCACATCGAACACGTCAAAGAGGAAAATAAAGACGTTTTAAACAAATCTTTAAATATATTATACAAAATAATATATAAAATCAACAAAAATATATCTAAAAGTAATCAAACTTACATCTAAGTTATTATTTTCATCTTTTCGTGCGATCGCGTGTAATGTAAGTCAAATGACATCTCGGCTTTCGTCGCCTTGAATTCTCGGCTCGGACACGATGTTTAATGCAAAAATATATGCATGAAAAATCTTTGTCACAGCTCGTAACCTAGCACGATACATTCACGAAGTTCCATATTTTTAATATATATCGTGATTTCCTGCTCAAAACGTTCAGAATAACACGATTTAACAAAATTCTTTCGCAAACTTCTGTAATTTATCGAACACGAGCTTGGTATCACAGCTGTAATTTGATTGGCTGCCTTAGGTCACGTGCTCAAAATTGACCAATCACGAAACTTGTAGCAGATTTCAGCAAGAAAGCGTCATTAGAAACCAATTTTAATCCAATGAAATCGCTTGTTATAACTACGGAAAAAAACCAGTCGATGTTACGAGCGTGTAGATGAAGGAATAAGCTTTCCAGCGATGTGTCATATGCCATTCTTCGACGAACGTGTTATTCATACGAAACCTCGAAAACGGGGGTATTTCTTCATTTTACTGAGCGGACAGTCGCTGTTATCGGGAAATGGGTGATGACAGAGACTATTTATAAGTCTTTTTAAAATGATTTTCCAATAACGTAAACAATGAAAATAAAATAGAAATAGGTACGTGGATATTATGAAATCATATATTTGCCGAAAAATCGTCAAGTTTTCGCTTCCTTGGTCCTTAATCTGGATGTTAACAACGTGTTAGCGTACATTTTTTATTTACAACGAATTTAATTAAGTTGTAAATGCATTATTTTAAATAATGTGAAAAACATAACTTTCATATTTATAAACCATAGGATCAGACCTTTCAAATGGTGTATAACATGTAGTAGCAAATATATTTTACAAGCAGGTATTTTCTTTGATAAATGTTGGCTTCATCTATCACACAAGAGCCTCTGGGAACTCGGTGTCCCAGCAGTAAACACTTCTGGTTGACTGGTGTTGAAAGAGTTAAAGTCTACCAGCCTGAACTTAACCTTTCCCACTAAGTAGTGCTATAGATTAGGATAACAAGATTATTGACAGGGATGACGTCATCAACACAATATTTTGGTACACGAAATTTTTGTGAGTGAGTGGGGTTTAAAGCTGCTTTTCCCATTATTTCAGTGTGACGGAGATGTTTACCTCTTGGACATATCACTTACAGTGAGTGAGTGGGTATGGTCTTACGCTGCTTTTAGCAATATTCCAGCAATATCACGGCGGGGGGACACCAGAAAGGGGCTTCACACATTGTACCCATGTCGGGAATCGAACCCGGGTCTTTGGCGCCCCCATATCACTTACATGTTATGGTAGGGTGCTGACAGAACTTAGCACAAAAGCCAACTGGGCCACCCATGGCCATAGCAATTGTGCATACATTTGATAGAAGTGTAGATTCTGTGTACTTACGTTTGTCTGGAAGGCACGACTGGTGAAGAGCTGAGTGGAGTAGGCACATTATTCGGTCGATGTCGAAGAACAGGGGTAGTGAATGCTCGCCTTGGTGCTGGGTGGCTGAACACAGAAAGCAGCCATGTTGGTACAAACATTTCCATTTATCTTGTTCACTCTGTTTTAAGAGTGCGTGTTATTAACGGTATTACTATATCGGTTAACTTGAGGTTCCTTCTTTCCAAGATACGCATCACAATATCATGTTTTAATCCTTGGTAGTTCAGGTGATTTTAAATAGCGAGTTTTGTCATGTTTTTATATTATACACTTGCCAAATACCTTTGAAATATTTTCGTAATTCCAAAATGCAAGTTCGCCAAGAAAGAGGCTGCTTCTCAGTTACCTCCCTTATTTGCTTTTGCATCATTTCATACACTTTCATCACCATCAAGGGCACTCTCCTACCCATAGTTCCTTGCGGCCAGCCTAGTACCTCAGCCACAGGCTCTATGACAGCGTGACGTGCTGTCACAGAAGCCCTATGAAGAATTAGCAATACGGTCACTTTGATGGATAAAAATATAAAGACAAGCTCCACACTGTTGCAGTAAGATATCTTTAAATCATACAACACAATATGTAAAGCACACTGTAAGGCCTGCATTAGGCAAGTCTGCTCTGATTTCAGAAAAAGCATGTTTGTTTACAAACAAGAAAGGTCCAGTCATGTGATAAGCAAATTACCCAATGGCACTTGTGTAATGCTAACTCATTGATGTCTCGCAGCGTGCACCAGGGCCCCAAGGTGGCTGCGTCTTTATTGATTGAGTAAATATCATGTTGTGATACACTCTAAAACTCCAACACTATGTTTCAATAATTTATCACTTCTTGATTTTCAACATCACGAGAGAGTAAGGGAGTTTGATTTAACAGTTCTCATACAAAACATTATTTCCGTAACATAAGACATGGCATGTGGGCTTCACATATTGTACCCATGTTAGGAATCGAAACCGGGTCTTCAGGGTGACGAGCGAACGCTTTAACCACTATGCTACCCGATCGCCCCTTGAATAGAACAGATACCAATGACAACTTACAAAGGCATAGCAAAGCTTTCCTGTGATGATGACGAACAGTCCAGAGGTGTTGCTACGGAGTTGTTGGTGATGCTGATGTCGTAATCATCAAAACAGTCATCTGGAAATATTTTTACATGACTGCATCAGTATTTAAAACTTTATCATCATTAAGACATTCAGATCAAGTGTCCATAAATGAATGGGTAAAAATTCATTCCAGTTTATAGCCATTGTCAGCATTCCTACCATCTGAGATGCTGTGGTCTGCATGGGAGGACTGCGTGCTGTCACTGGGCAGCGAAATGCGGGACGTCTTACGGGGGAAGAACCGTGTCACAGGGAAGAACAGCATCGACACCAGGAACAGAAAACCGTGCCAGAATGAAGAGAAGAAGGCTTTCACTTGAGATACCTGCCAGAAAAGACATATATAAGTAAAGTAAGCCAACTAGCTGTTAGAAGTGTGTTTTTGATTTTGGTGACATATTTTGTGACGACCATAAAACAATCAAGTGAGCATGATTTTCTTTTGTTGCATAATTCTGTCTTCCTCTTAACACATAAAGAAATATTCCCCTCTTCTGAGCAGTGTCTGAACTATTTACTCTCAACAAGCCAGGTAACCATGGTAACCTGTTTGTTTGTTTGTTTGTTGTTTAACGCCACACTCAGCAATATTCCAGCTATATGACGGCGTCTGTAAATAATCGAGTCTGGACCAGACAATCCAGTGATTGACATCTTGAATTGGGATATGATGACATGCATCAACCAAGTCAGTGAGCCTGACCACCCGATTCTGTTCGTTGCCTCTAACAACAAGCACAGTAAATGGGTTGCTGAAGACCTATTCTAACCTGGATCTTCACAGGTCCTTCAATGTAAGTAGCCCATCATAAAGCTGTATGTCCACATTTGTGAATAAATGACAGAGCAGATAATCATTATCATTTTTTCAGACTTTGTGATTTACTATTTATAGCTTCATCATTACAAAGATAGCTCTTACTCTCGGGTAAGTCACATATCAATGTCTCGTTTAAAATTGTCAGTGTAGCATTACAAGCAATGAAATATTCTACTGGACAGTCAGGCAGGAAGGAAGACATTTCACCTCTCCCAACAGAATTATTACCAGGCACGGGATAGAGCAGGGGTGTATCCAGTATTCCACACTAAGTTCTTAGCTTCCAAAATTCAGAGGTATTTTAAAATTGCATTCAATGCAATTATGTCAAACTAAGCATTAAACATGCTACATCCTCTTCCCCTTTATTACCTCTGTTATCAGTGAAATACGAGTCACCTTACCAAGCCATAACATTAGTTATACTGGCAAATATAACAGCATGATTAGGGAAATTTCATTTCAGTTTAGGAATTGGTACCCACATTTGCTGCAGACCATTAAAGGTCAAGATAAATCCATGTCGTGTTCATGCATCTTTTTCAGACACTACTTCTAAGCATATCACATGCCGGTCCATTATGTTGAAATGTAAGAGGCTTAAGCGTCAGTTAAACATTGTTCTCAATGTTATTAAATATGCAGACGATAATACTGGCACCCAAATTTCTCAAACAAAATGAAATAGTTCTTACAGCACTTTTGATCATGTAGTCCCGCATTCTTCTTTTCCACACCTAAAATACAGAATACAGATTGTTAAACCAGAACAGAACATCTGGAGAGATATCTAGACTATACTGTCAACAACAGTGTCAACTTCTCAAACTTGTCAGATTCCTAAATTTTTATCACCAAAAGCATGTCAAATGATTGCATAGACATACTATGAGGTGAAACTTAAAAACACAAAGAATTTGTTCTTAACAGTCGCACATGCTTATAAACATAACATAAAAAATGTATTCATTGATAAATAGATGTACACAACAATTAGCAACAATGTGGCTAGAGAAGCTAAACAAACAAAGCAATCTATATAATATGACAAAGTATTCAAAGATGATAAGTAAACAAACAAATGTGTCTACATGCCAATATTTTATACTAGATAAAATATACAAAAAATAGAATACATCCTTGAGATCTGCTTGAGCATACTATTTCCTACCTTGCGCACACATGGGAAAGCCAACAGCTGATCTACAGTGGGTCGACTCTTTGGGTCTGGGTCCAACATCTGACTGATGACATACTTCAGGTCAAAAGTCTTGTCTGCAAACATATTGAAAAAAGGTCAGTGAGGGCTTATGTCCTAGTGGTCAATACAACAACTGTGGGAAGTGTCTTAGGTAATTCAACACGTCAGTGATCATGGTTGTGTTAAATTTAATCAAACTGTCAGGGCATGATCAATCAAAAGAGTGAGTGAGTGAGTGACTGAGTATGGTTTTACGCCGCTTTTAGCAATATTCCAGCAATATCACGGCGGGGGACACCACAAATGGGCTTCACACATTGTACCCATGTTGGGAATCGAACCCAGGTCTTCGGCGTGACGAGCGAACGCTTTAACCACTAGGCTACCCGACCGCCCCTCAGTCAAAAGATGTCTCCCAGTCTGTCACCTGTATAAATATTAACCCAAGGCTTTAAATGTGATTTTCAAAAAATTATCTGGAGCTCTGAGTGTCCATTCATAGAAAACATTAACAAAACTAGTCTGGGTTAAAGCCAACTTCCATGCCTGAAAGACTTTATTTTATTATGAACAGCAGTACTTCAAGATGGTATAAATGCTGTAATGTAAAACTAATTATCAAAGCCTTCTCTTTACTGGCTCTCTTGTGAGTGTAATTACACTGCATGGACACATTTGTTCACCAAAAACATTCCACTAGCATTTGCTGAAATCCCAGGGGATGAAAACACTCAGTTGAATCCTTTTTATCCATATTCTGTAGCTAGTGTTGCTATCCAATAATTTTCAGAGACAAGAAAAAGAAACAATAGGGCACAAATTATCAATATTGTGGAGTTCTTAAGCCTTTTGTTTACTAGCAATAACATTAATTAACATCTACAAGATCTAGGTGAAACATAGATATAAAGTCATGAATAATTCAACCATCTTACTTACATAGTTGATACACGATAGAGTGAGTGAGATGAGATGAATGCAGCTGTGAACAGTATTCCAGTTATTTCACTGTGTCAGCTTGATGTGGAGGAAAGCCCGAAGTGAAGCAGGTCTCAGACGTTTACCACTTTGATGAAACCCACGAGCACGGATATAGTGCTGACAAACCCACAAATTGGGATTCGAACTCACAAATTATAGGTTTCTGGCGTGCCCAAGGGACGCAACTCTGCACAGCGAATTGCGGCGCCTTAGATGACCAGGCCCACCTGTTGCTGCCATACATGATAGAGGTTAACTTTCATGTGTGATAAATTTGTTGAAATTCCTACCCCGCAAGAATTCTTCTGGTAAGATTCCTCTTCTGAGAATATGCCAACCCTCACCTCCACGTGGTAGATCAAGGTCACTAGCCATTTCTAACATTGTCATTCCCAAACTAAACAAAGAACAATGAACACAGTTATAACACCAGTTTGGTGACAGACTAACTTGACAGAGGTAAACATAATTCACAGGGACAGACAGTCCCACTAGTCCATTAGTCCGAGACAAATGCCCTTTAGTTTATATACAAAACTGTATCTTCCTTCACCATGTTCACAGCAATATCTGTAAAATCATCACGACAACAGCTTCCACAAGTCAGCAGGAATAGTCTAGTAACATTCTAGCACTTTCAGCTAATAATAGTAACACCAGATCAACTAAAAATGATGCTGAGAGACAAGTTCAGGCCAGTTGATTCATATGTGATAATAGCAGTGACAGTTAATTCTTAAACTGTACAAGAAATGTACTAGGACAATACTAACTAGAAAGTGTTTTTACTCATAAAAACATATGTCTCCCCCCACTCCCCTAACCCCCATTTATTCGTTTACTTCACGTTAAACCCCATCTCTTCATTCCCACCCTCCATTACTAAATAACAGAGACAAAAATAGAACTCCTAGAAATTTCAAACAACTAATGGGCACCACTTCAGCGTCTAATCAACACCACTAATCCCTCAATCATTTACCCACCTGACAGTGTAGTCATCTAAGTAGCACAGTTTTCTTGTTACTGAAGTATTTGTAGAAAATCCACTTAAAGTACTAATAGAGTTTGGACACAAATATATTAATATCCCAACATATCAGAAATGATGTAGCAATGTTATATGGCACAAAGGAAAGTCTCTGTGATGTAATTGCCCGTGTATCTGACTCTGCAGGTCTTCTACACAATGACATATGTGATGTCATGAAAACTGTCATAGCAAAAGGCACCACTTCAGTGCTGGGTTAATGTGTATACAAAGTTTCGCGAAAAAATATTAAACGGTTTCTGAGTTATGGTCAGGAAACAAAGCTTACCCCCATTCAGAGCCTATGTTCAACTTGTCTCCATGGAAACGAGAAAAAATAAAAATCTCTAAATAGCAAAAGGCACCACTTCAGTGCTGGGTTAATGTGTATACAAAGTTTCGCGAAAAAATATTAAACGGTTTCCGAGTTATGGTCCGGAAACCAAGCTTACCCCCATTCAGAGTCTATGTTCAAGTTATCTCCATGGAAACGAGAAAAAATAAAAATGTCAAAAATCTCTAAATAGCAAAAGGCACCACTTCAGTGCTGGGTTAATGTGTATACAAAGTTTCGCGAAAAAATATTAAACGGTTTCTGAGTTATGGTCCAGAAACGGTGGGAACGCCGACGCCGACGGGAACCGTGCCAAAAACAATATGTCTCCCTCCATTCTGGGGGAGACATAAATAGCACTGATGTTACTCTGTAACAATTCAATGGGTGCTAATTCCTACAAATACAAGACAATTCTCTATATGACATGCTATTTCTTCTTTTCGAAACCTCCTGAACTACACAAGCGCAAACAAACAGTGATAATTCTAAATTAGCAGTGATAAGGGGTCAGTCTATTTCATTCAGACTGTCATAGTATTCATTGTAACAGAACTAACTAAAGTTACACAAGATCTCCCACAAATAAACCATATACACAAGGTCAACACTTTGATACACATAATTTAAGTGTAATAAGATACATTTGGCATCAATCATGACATTCTTACCTAAAAATATCAGCAGGTTTTCCAAACTTGCCCTCCATTAGTTCAGGAGAGAGGTACTTGGGGTCCCCCTCTTGAGCTTCAGACATATCAAGGCTCTGAAACAGTAAGTTACATTATTACCCATATGGGCTCAAATATGCAGTGTAATAACTTTTTGATATTTGCACAGTGTGCAATTAGTGATTCTCGAAGCTGATTGGTCAGTTAAACAAATGTCAATTTTCATTGGTCCACGGGACTATTTTTCTCTCATTGAGTTCATTCACAAATCCAGAGCATTCATTCACATGTTTTCCGTGCTACAATCTCACTTAATCGAGATTTATAAGACTAGAACATAGTTTCATATCAACCACATGATTTCACAGTATAATGAATAAAGCATTTATTTCGCACGAGTTTTAGTTTACAATAAGCGTAATTACAAAAAACAAAACTACGTCTGCATTGTTTGTAAACAAACATGGCTGACCATTTGACACCTGTCAAACTAAATGACCTCGTGAAAGTAGACGGAGATCTGACAGGAAGAGTTATTCGCATAATTCAACCTCTGAACACATTTCATGTCTTTGTTGTCAAAACTGCATATGGCCAGATTGAAGTTCCAAGTTTCAGATTGTGATGTTGCCAGAAACTGTTTCTAGTGCGCTAAAACTCAACACCACCAAGTCCGGATTTGCGTCTGTGTTAGAGGACTTGCTGTTTGGCGAATCTTTCGACCACACGAATCCCCAAATCGGATTTTGTATAGACAGGTTTGCCTTTGTGAACGATGATGACATCGATAACTGCCAATGAAAAGGAAAACACAATGAAAAAGACTAAATTTGACAAGTTGACATGAACTTAGTTCAAATTTATAGGCTACTGGTAAGAAAAACACGAAAAATAAGACTACTCACACTTTCAATGATGGCATAAAAATAAAAACAAATTCCTTTTGCAACAACAGTTAGTCTTTCCGAAAGACATTATAAACATACGCCATTTCGTAGAATTTAAGTTTGTAACATTGTGTGAAGAAATAAGAACGCGACACTTTTTTATACAATGTATACTATACGTTTTTGTAACCGCGACGTCAGCACAGTACGGCGCTGAGCGGTATGTAGGCTGACTGACGTCCGGGCACCATAAGACTATGAGGGTTAATGACGCAGGAAAGGTGCAACTAAACATTATTCCTTGCAAATTTATCATTTCGGCATGCAAATCAGACGGTTCAGAATTCGAAATGCGTACTTTGAAGGAGATCAAGGGTAGCACCGAGTGCTACCTTAGCGACAAGATTACCAACATCTGGTTGCGAAATCGATGCACTTTGCTGAACTCAAATAGGTTTTGAAATCAAAACAAAAATAATTAAAAATACAAGGAAAAGAAAACTTACCCCAGCGAGGTGATCCTGTGTCCGACATTGAACTAAATGAACTCCGTGAATGCGGACAGCTTGTCACCAAGTCTCCAGATACCGTGTTAGTCTATCAACAGGTATTCGACCATATTATGAATCACATTTTAAAATATCAACAAACTCCCGTTATCTGAGTGTGTCCACTCCACAAGCGCGTTTGACTCAGACAAGTCCTCCTAAAATCCCACATGCACATGTTTCCCATCAGTCACACTTGTCTCAAATCACAAACGATGTTCATTAAACTTGTTGTCCGGATTAAACTGTAACGCCGGTTCTCTTGTCATTCCTGGTTTCAGCTGTCTCATATCTGGGTCAAGTCGGGTCATTCTTTCCGACACTGACAGCAATCGTATTTTTCAAAGTTTACCTACTTGTCGTAACTTTTCTCAATCAAACATGACTTCTGTACATTCCTTCTATGTTGTTGATACAGGTTTTTGCATTTTTACCGAATGACACATGAAAAAATTGACAGGTTTTCCGTGTTTCCTCTTCTCAATGTAAAAATTCATGTCCATGGTGATGCACGACGGCTATTGTCTTGTCAATGAGAGGTCTTGTCAAAACAAGCCTTGATTAAAAAGCCTTTTTTGAAAATTGTCTTCTTTTATCAATGGTAGATAGTGTACGCTGTGTAACTCAGACAGAAATATAACTGCAATAATGTGATCTTTCAAGTTTTGTTAACAGAACTATATTTTTATGCGTAGCAAGACGTTGTTGATTGAGTAATGCGGCTGGAGTGAGTGGACAGTGTTTTTTCACACGCGGATTGATACAAAACAGCTGTTTCTTGATCAGCGACAGTTCATTGTTTTTTTCTTGAAACATGTCTTTAATATGACTATGGGTAATAAATAGAATAACCCACGAGGTACGAGTGATTACGGAAAATATGTCACTCGTGAAATTAATCTTTTAAGTTCCTCGCTAAAGCTCGGAACTTAAAACATTAATTTCACTCGTGACATATTTTCCGTAATCACTCGTACCTCGTGGGTTATTCTATAAATCACTGCTTAATAATAATAATTATAATTCTAAATGACATCTGTTGAAGTCCACCTTGTGATTGCCTCATATACGTTAGAAAACTTGCTTTTCAGTACCGGTAATCGAGTAAACAACGTCATCAAACGCCATCTGCTGGATGCTGGCATCCTATATTCTATCTGGTTGTAAAGTGTTTACAAAGAACTGTTTACTGCAAGTAACAAATGGGTGATTGTAGAGTGTTGGACATTCAACATGAAAGTCAAGGATCCTTATAACTCAAAATCTAATATTAATAGGTTCAATTTTAGGCGACAGGACAAAAATCAAATTTGACCTTTCAAAACTTTTATCTTTTTTGTAAGAAAGTGTGTTGATAGTATGAGCAAATATTTTTATTTAAACAATTACAGTATTAAAGTGTTTACATGGTAGCAAAGCCACACAGTGCCTGAAGCAGCCAGACTCATCAATAAAATAATATCTCTGAACAGAAACCTTTCCACATTTCAGATTTTAGGGATTAAGGAATCTGTTAATCATATAATATATAATACCTTACCTTGGATAAATCTAGCACTAATCCGAAATCTCCAAGCTTGCAGACCCCGTCGAAAGAGACAAAGATATTGTCTGGCTTAATGTCCATGTGGATCAGGTTGTGTTCATGGAGATGTTTCACTGCCTGCAAGTCAACACCATCAACACTTCAGATCCCACAAACACACATAGTACCGGTGAACATCCGGGGCAGAATAGGTCTTCAGCAACCCATGCTTGATGTAAAGGCGACTATGCTTGTTGTAAAAGGCGACTAATGGGATCGGTTGGTCAGGCTCGCTGACTTGGTTGATGCATGTCATCGATCCCAATTGCGTGGATAGATGCTCATGATATCAATCACTGGATTGTCTGGTCCAGACTCGATTATTTACAGACCACCGTCATATAGCTTGAATATTGCGGAGTGCGGCGTAAAACAACAAACCAACCAACCAATCAATTGCATAGATCGATGCTCATGATGTTAATCACAAGATTGTCTGGTCCAGACTCGATTATTAAACAAAAAAACAAACATTGAAAGGAATAACCCATTACTATTATTAGTTCTTTTCCACTTACAAACCTTGCACTTGATAGAGAGGGAAATGCAGAAATGCAGGAGTTAAATATCAGAACTTCAGAAAAAATCCAATTTAATTTTAATTTCCTCTTCAATTTCAAAACATAAGTAAGACTGAAGATAGATACAATGCTGAAGATAGATATTGACATTCGTTGTTGTTTAGCGCCACACTTTAAAATATTCCAGTTGTACATAACCGAGTCAGGACCAGACAATCCAGTGATTGAGCATCATGAGCATCAATCTACGCTGTTGCTGAAGACAAATCCTAACCTGGATGTTCACAGGGTCAACATGGTCAATTGTAACATGTGAGTTTTTAACACTGCTTCATGCCACATCAGCACGTTCAGCTAAGGCAGCCTGAACTTGGCTTGTGGTCTGGTTTATAAATAAGAAGCAAACATTTCCTGACAGATTTTAAATGGGTTCTTTACTGAATATGTTTTGTTTTGGACTGTAGTCTTTGATGATGGAATGTGGCTCATCACAAAGATAACTCAATTCCTAGTTAAATACACAACGCTATCACGTCTTACCATGAGAAGATCTACTAAGTAGTTCCATATAGTCGTCTCAGTAATCTCATGATTCGAGTCAGCAAAGTTACTCAGGCTGCAAAGAAAGTGTACATGTCCTTAACCACAAGACAAATACATCAGACTCATATGACCCTGCTTAAGTCAATACAAATATGGACCAGTTGTAAACTCTGTGAAGGCTTTAAACGAGAACAAGAATAACCAGAGCTGAAGGTAACTTTTTGAGCAATTGAGTTTTTACTCAAAGGTTTCTATCTTAATTGGGTTAATACATTTTTCATTGGGTTACCAATATTTTTTTTACTCATCTATTCATCACTCTATTGTTTTTTCCCCCCCAAAAAATGAGTAAGCATTTTGAGATTTAAAAAAATAAAATGAAATAATGTTTTAGATGTAAAATAACGGTTCTAAACATAGGCTTGACTCGGAAAGGAAAATAGCTCGTAATTGTGCTTCGGAAATTAGCTCCGGTGTACGCATGCTGAAAAAGCATCTGTGGGTGTTTACGCATGCTGTTTTCAAAATTGAGTTTTCCATTAAATGCATGCTTTTATGTATGCAAGTGAATTGAAAGTAATTGGGTTTTGAATAGTTTTGGGGGGTATTACACAAATACGCAGCTTATCTGGAGCTCTAAATAACCAAACAAATACTACATAACAGCTGTAGAAACTAACATGTTTAGTCCACTAGTCCTTACAATGATAGCATATAGCAATACCCTTCAAAATGGCAAATTTCTACTAGTCCTTAGGATACCTTAACTATTGGGCCGTTTGGCAAGGACTACAGGACTAGCACCAATTTCTAACGCTGCATAATTTAAACATTGTACACTTATTAGCAAGTCAAGATTCAGCGAGTGAGATGCTTATCAGACAGACAAAGGGACAAATTTGAAATTGATCTGGGATTCAAACCTGCAATCAGCGGATCCATATTGTTCAGGGGCCCAACTCTGTACAGCAAGTGGCAATGCCTTAGGCCACCAATGCCCCGACGTGATAAGCTTGTTATGATACGACTGGTGAAAACCAAGTTACCCATCAGCACATATGGAGCTGACAAACCACAGATAAAAAACAGAGCCAATCTGGGATTCAACATGCAACCTACAATTATGAGTACCTGATGAAATTGCCCATATAGGCAGCTTGGGTTCTATACTTAGGGAGTGGAGAATCACACAAAATGAATTTATACAAACAATGTACAGTGACAGGGGTAATAATTGCAAGGATTTATCAAGGATTCCAAACTGGGTGGCATTGGCATGCAAATTTGGGGGGGGGGGGGGGAGGAAATGGATTTTGAACATGTTCTGATTTTTGTGCTTTAAGGAATTGGGAAATCTTAAATTCAAGTTTGGAATATGTACTGTCTTGCTGGTGACTTTGGGGCCAATTGTAGGCTTCTGAGCAGGTCTAGATACAACCCTGAATTGTGTGGTGCATTTAGCATGAACTTTTGCATGGAGTCATTTATTCAGTCAAGCACATCAAAAAGATGCATTATTATTACCTTAGCATACAGAGCTCCGTCTGCAGGTACAGATGCTGTCTCTCCTCCCAGGCCTTGAAGAAGCCAACACAGTTGGGGTGTGGGGGCAGTTTCTCATGTTTGGCTACCTCTTCCAACTTTCTGCGCCTGCAAGCGTTGATTAATGAATGAGCTAATCATGCTAACTTAAACCCATGATGACAGTGACTTTGTACAGCTACGATCAAAATAACGTCTCCAAAATTTGATATATCAACATAATTACTGAACAGTTAACTGACCTGTCAGATTCTCCCCTAAATCTTTCCTGTGATCTCTTCACCGCATACAACCTGCTATCCTCCCTGCTGCGCACTTTGAAAACCTGAAACAAGAGACAGAACTGCAGATAACTTTTTGAGCAATTGAGTTTTTACTCTAGGCTTTCTATTTTAATTGGGTTATTACATTTTTCTCTGGGTAACCAATATTTTTTCACTCATCTATTTATCACTCTATTTAGAGATTAAAAAAAAGGAAACAATGTTTTAGACATGTTAGATGTATATATAACTGTTCTAAATACATAGGCTTGACTCGGAAAGTAAATTATCCTGTAATTGTGTTTCGGAAATTAGCTCCTTTGTACGCATGCTGAAAAAGCTTCAGCTTTCTGGTATTTACGTGTGCTGTTTTTATACATTTGAGTTTTTCATTTAATACATGTGTATCTGTACACAAGTTAATTGAAAGTAATTGGGTTTTAAATATGGGGGGGTATGCAAATATGCTGCTTATCTGTAGCTCAGAGGAGAAGATTATTCATGTTATGACAACTTCATCATATAATTATGATGTGAATTCAAACATTTGGATTGGATGAACAGGTAAAAACGTAACTGTGAACTATATAAAATATGTGGAATCATCACAGAAACACTCTACTTGCTAACATGGCTAAGCTACTTTGAATATTATTTCTTCTACCAATAATAAATTAAGATACAATCACAATATGGTGAGTTTGTTAAGGTTCTACTACACCAAATCAGAACCAGTTTGGACAGTGCGGTTTTCGTAGGGAGCCTTCAGTGCAGATCGAGAGATATCTGCAGGCTGTGATTGGAGGATATTCTGTAAGATTTTTATGTCTTTCAAATGTACATCCATCCAGTTATTAAAACTGACCATATTTTTTCTATATTTAGTACTGTCTTTTTCAACATGATGACTTATGCTGAATGTGACCACAGCTATTTTCAAGTAGGTGACATTTGGTGTGAAACTGGGGGTGGTGTGTTTAGCCAGTGGTTGATAGCATGAATACAGGACACATATTAGGGGTGCAGAAATAGAAAAAGGTCCCCTGTCCAAAGACAATGGCTAACTGTACATGCTGTACATATCTTTTACATATATGGTGTTTATTTTATGACATCTGAAATCTGTTTTGTACTGCCCACAACTAAAATATATTGCGCATCTGGATACATGGTACTCAAAGAACATGTCCTGAAGTGTGATCGAAATCAGAACATGTAAACAATAAACCGCCATCTGTATAACTGGTCATACCTATGATGTCAACATGGTCAAAGCTATATTTAGTACATGTTAGGAAAAAGTAACTGAACATGCTGAAGGTCTGCTACACTTTAAGATTGTTCATAGACAACCGAAGGAGATTTCTTTTATTGTAGAAAGTGTGGAAAGTTTGAGATTTTCCACAGCCCTGCATATCATTTGCAAATTGTGACCACAAAATTTTCATATGATCAGCAAATAACACATCTAAATAAGAGTCATATGAAAATGCCAGGGTCTGCGAGCAAACAACAGTAGACACCATGAGCTAAATCCAACTTGTAAACAATTCATATCAGTGGTTTATCATGTACATATAATACATATTTTGGGGGAGCAAGCTACTAGTTCTTATTCTCAGTGGTCTTGGACTACACCATGTACACTGGACTATAGTGGCTTTATCAGACACTGAGCAAAGGGATTCTTAAGATGAATGAATATTTAATGTTTTGAATAATAATCTTAAAATAAACATGATGATAAAAAAAGAGAACCAAAGTCATTTGGTTTTGTGATGTACAACACGATTACATTACCTCTCCAAATGAACCAGCTCCCAGTTTGGAGATGATTTCAAAGCACTGGTTGAAGTAGAGATCTCGGCAGTGCTCATTGTACTTCGTGCTCAGGAATGCTAAGTTGTGGTCAAGGACAAGTAACAATGACATCATATTTAGCATTACCAAACTGGCAGCCGTATCTCATTAGATGTGTAAATACTGACCTCAAATTATAATATTATCTTTCTCAAATAAACATGTGTAAGTGTGTTGCATGTTATAAATGCCAAGGGTGTGGAGGTTGCAAACATTTAATTCTCTATATATATCACTTGTTTCCACAATAGAATGTGGCATTTATACATGTGATCATTCTATCAGAAAAGGGTAACTGATCAATCACACCCATCCACACACAACATGTGTTTATATCTATTATTGTTGAATTTATGTATGGTACAACATTTGCTCTTCATGTGTGTATATGGTTATGTATATGGGCCTGAAGCCTTCATGCAAATAAACTTCACCAACATGATGAACTGGTGCACCTTTTATAAAGTTCATGCATGAATACAGTCAAACATTGTTGTGTTAAAACTTTGATGTGTCCGTCTAACTTACGGTTGTCTCAAAGTAAAAACTTGGCCCCTGCATGTTCCTTCGTTTTTCATCATTTAGCAGTTGTGTCAAGCCTTAGATAAATTGAAGTAATACATAGGCCCCTTCAACTTCAATATCGGTGTTTGACAATAGTTTTACTCAAAACATGTTCATTCTAACATGTTTTACCCAAACATTTCCAAATACAAAATTCCACTTTAAACATGTTAAATAAAGTCCATAGAATTTCAAAATCCAAATAAATGACAAATCTGTACGAGTGCAACTGAACAATTCTGTGTCATACAGAAAGAGTGGATACAGTGCTCTTCTCTCCTGAAAGACACAACTTGGGCTCTCTGGACTGGTCTGTGAGGGAAGATTCTGCTGACAGGAGGTGCACTCTTCACTGGCGGTTTGGGAGGCAGGGAGTCACGTGGTGTTCCTCGTTGCTAGGAGACAAGGTGAGGCTAGCATGAATACTAAGACAACAGCTTATGTTACCAGAAATTCAACGATTCACCATTTGTGACTGAATGTTAATCGCATCACCTGAAAATATTGCCAATACAATCATATTATTATGGCTGGTACTGTACGAGTAGACTTTCCAGGCAAGATAATTAGGGGCAAACAAGGGTAATGTGGCAAGCATTGAATATTTTGAGTACTGATTCCATCAAGATCTCTGCCAGTATAGATATAGTCTTAGATCATGATTCACTGAGCTTAGTGGGGATGGAAATTAGCTCTTGCCTGCTTGCCGAGACCAGTTGTTTTATTAAACTATAAAGGTATCCTAAGGGCTAGTAGGGGAGTAGTACTTTACCGGGCGCACTTTTTCAGATCCAATTAGCAATGTGGGGACTCGAATGCGCTTTGATGGCTTACCCACTTGGCTAATTAGTGCATTAATTAGCCGACACTCTACCACTAGACCAAGAGCACGATCGCATGCAACTATTGCTCGTTTAACAGTTATCCAGCAGCTCATTACCACGAATACGCAATTAAGTAAACAATGAATTGTGCATGGATGTTACCGACCGACGTCACACACTCTGCATTTATCTTTTTGAGGAAGCCATGCCTGTCATTGTCCATCAAAATGAGTAACCAATCGAGCGACGAAACTTGCTAAAACGGACTACTCTATAATAGGATTACCCTCATTGGATTATTGGAAACACTGAGAAATAGTAAAAAATTATGGCTAACCCTAATGATCGAAAAGGGGTGTTGGATCGGAAAGGCATGTCAGCTTCCTTAGGTCGAAAAGCAGCTTTAGAAATTGGCCCTAGTCCTGTAGTCCTTGCCAAACTGCCCATTAGTTAGGTATCATAAGTAGAAATTTGCCTTTTTTAAGGGCTTTGCGATGTGTTATCATTATAGGAACTTTTATTTTTTACCACTGAAAAGAGGGGTTGGATCACCATTGCGAGTGCAAATGAGCGCAAGCCACAGTAATGGCCTAGCCTAGCAAGACAGTGGTAATGCTTACTGTTTGTAGTGGGCAAGGCTTGCTTGGTTGTTGTTTAACACTGCAATCAGCAATATTACCAATCTATATGACGGCAGTCTGTAAATAAGAGTCTGGACCAGGCAATTCAGTGATTGACATCAAGAGCATCGATCCACGCAATTAGGATACAATGACACGCATCAACCAAGTCAGCGAGCCTGTCCACCCAATCACGTAAGTTGCCTTTCACGACAAGCAAGAGGCTGCGTCGGTAAACTGCATTTCTGCCACTAGTAGAATTTCAAACACGTTTGGGGGTACTTCTATAACTATTTACTATTTAGGCCTGTAAATATTCTTGTTAATTTCCATCTCTGCTTTAAAACCACACATCATCATACCAATGTAAAAACAGGAACAGGTTCCTCAGACATACAGTTGGGAGAAATCGTCAGAAAATAATATAACCCCTAACCCATATCCATAAATGATTTATATATTGGTCAGTGGGCCGGTCGGTGTATGGTAAGCATCGCAAATATGAAGGGAAATTATTACTGGTCAACATGGTCAAAAAGAGTTGACGACAATGGTAGATCTACCGTGTGATAGCGATACTTCAGTTTCCAAATTGTTTTCACAAGACAGACATATATACATAAGTACATATTCAAATACGATAACATAGTTTCTATCATTTATGATATTGTATGAAGAACACAATGTTTATAGTAATTCAACTAAAAAGTGACAGCTGTCAAAATTGTTTGGCTGAGCGCAATAGTACCAATAAATGATTATTGTCGCAGGGCGATAATTCACCCTGGGTTACGGAAACATGTAACGTCCACATTACCAATAAACGGTACTTTATCATTCGAAGACGTATATTTAATTTGAGAGTAAAATGAAACCTTTTTCGTTGAAAACGTCTGCAGTTCCTGAAAAAATTGAGGCGTTGGTCTTGGGCTGGAAAAAGCCGCATCCATTTTCCACTTAGTCATCTATTTCTATGTATTTCGTACAGTTGGTAACTAAGGTACATCCTAAACTTCATTAATGCGAGACTGTCATTGCTAGCATCGACTATTTTGCACAGTAAAGTAGACTTTGCTTGCGTCCCAGCCAGAGTGTTTATTTTCCGACTGCTTATTTCGCGGTCTTTTTCGCTGTTTAGAGCCAGGCGATTTGATTGGTTGAAAATAACTTCTTCAGGTTTCAAGTTATGATTTAAAAGTCATAATGTAAATAAGATTTTGTAAAATACAAATTTACTTTTGCTCTATCGAATTTATGGACATCAAATGTTTGCAGAATTAAAAACTAAATATCGCGTCTTTTGATCCGCGGTGAATCATGTGTCTAACCAATGAGAGATCACGTTATAACGGATTTATGTAAAATCCTGGAAAGGTTTCTTCAACCGAAATATAGAGATTGTTAGTAGATCGCTTCGAAAGTAAGGTAAATAACACCAATACAAATAAGACTATTCAGCACTTTTTGTTGCTAAGCATTTATGATATATTTCATTTGAGTATGTTAAATATCAATATTGACAATGTCAGACGTCCAGAAAACAAATATATGTCATCAATGGTGTACATACATATACAATGTATGGCAAATATGCTCAACAACTTCATCATCATCATCATCATCATCATCATCATCATCATACATAAAGTGTTCCCAAATAAATCATTCTGAATGGTGTACATGTTGAATGCTACATCTGAATCTCATTGCTAAAAAATGCCGAACAAGGAACAACTTGTTATTTTTTTCAAGTTTAACCCTTCGTCTCTTAAAACTGAAAGGTTAGGTCAATGATATTATTTAGGGATTGTAGAAACGAAACAACGACAAATATGGAAACACATTACCAAATCATGTGACGACATTTTGTATGCGCATTGCCTACCATGACAACATGTTGATTTGATTATTAAAGTGGAATCAATAATGGTTTACAAAAAGTGTTTGTGACTTTTTGTCTACAATCCATCCCCCAACAACCCAATCTTAGCTGTCTCTTTATATATTCGGGCGGTCGGGTAGCCTTGTGGTTAAAGCGTTCGCTCGTTACGCCGAAGACCCGGGTTCGATTCCCGACATGGGCACTATGTGTGAAGCCCATTTCTGGTGTCCCCCGCCGTGATATTGCTGGAATATTGCTAAAAGCGGCGTAAAACTATACTCACTCACTCACTCCTTATATATTCACAAAGTCTCAATAAACAAGAAACATATATCATTTGTAGGAACTGAGGTCTCACCCCATTTGTCAGATTACAAATGCCACGGTTGAGTTCTCCTTACGTAAATCCTTGTTTTGTATACATTCTAAATATGATTCAAAGTGAAACTGTTCCTTTACATTTTTATCCAGAATTAATTTACTATTAGTCGGAACTGTAAAAACATGTGGTGGGAACGTAAAGAATATTACGTTGTTTTCATGATCAAATGGTTCATTAGTTAAATCTATACGGGTAGAAAACAAAACAATACATAATCCTATTGTTTCTGATTAGATGAATTATTTTATACATTAAGTTAAGGTTTTTATTTGTTTGATCTAAGTCTATTAATAGGACTGGTCCATTAACACAACAGGTAAATCTCATATGTTTTGACAAGCCACATCTTCCCTCCCCTGTCTAACAAATGGGGTATGACCAGAACTGAGAGGTGTCATCACTTAATTAATTATTCATCAGTGCAACATTTCCTCAAAGTCGTGGTCTTGGGGATTACGGGCTGAGACCGATTGTGCAAACCTGCAACAAAAGCCCAGAAATGTCTTTTAAGTAATAAAAAATATGAGCCCAATTTTTCAAACAACAGGCGGAAATGTTGGATTCGAAACCACGATCAGCGAATCTGGTACGCAAGTTTTAACAACAACTTATTTGAGCATTTCGTGGCCATAAAACAGCGAAGCTATGCATCTTTGTATCTCTGTCATTCAAAGAAATCTGGCGAGATGGTGTTCCTTGAAATAGAGACCATATAATAATTATATGGTCTCTGCTTGAAACAAGCAATCATACGGAACCGTACATTTTTTCAAGAAGAATACGGAGTGTGATAAAAGAAAATCATAGTGTATGGATTGCATATTGAACATTCAGTATAAAAACGAAAGATAAATGAATGCATACCATAAAACGCGTTTTGTTTCTTTTCAGTTAACAAACAAATCCACAATTTAAACGACCCAAGGGCAGATAACTGTTCACTTCCGTTAACACGGGTCGAGAAAATGTCCAGCGTCTAGTTACCCTCATGCTGGAGATATCCTAATCATCTTCATTATGTCTAAATAGGTCCACCATACATAGTTTCTCCGGTTCGGACGGGACCATAAGAACTCAAGTTACGTGTAATATCAGACAGGCGTGAAGCGCCTGACACCTATCGTGTCGTACACATTGTCAGTTTTCTCTTGTTTTAGACCTATTTGTATCAGAAGTCAACAACCTTTCAGTTAAAAGTAACAGAAGCGTCACGATGGCGAACAGACCGAAAGTTCCTATCCAGTCCACGGCTGGTGCCATTCCCATTCGGAATGAAAAAGGTAAGTGTCTTGGAAGATTTTCATTCAAACATGAACATGACGAATAACATTAGGACTTTTCAATACAAATGTGCTAGTTGTTCCAAGTAACAGCTAGCTATATTCTAGTTACAGCACGGCATCTTGTAAATTGAGTCTGGACAAGGTAAACCAGTGGTTGATAGCATGATCAATGTCGTGTGCAATTGCAGTATTAGGAAACACAATTATACCAGTCAAAGAGCGTGACCACTGAATCCCTGTGTAGTGTGTGAGATACTGTAGCTGTGAGATTGTAGCTGTCCTGTTTACTGGTTGAGGCTGTGGTGAGTCACTGTAGCTATGAAATTGTAGCTGTCCTGTTTACCAGGTGAGGCAGTGGTGAGTCACTAGCTATGTAATTGTAGCTGTCCTGTTTAGTGGGTGAGACTGATGATTTACTGTAGCTGTGAAATTGTAGCTGTCCTGTTTACTGGGTGAGGCAGTGGTGAGTCACTAGCTATGAAATTGTAGCTGTCCAGTTAACTGGGCGAGACAGACCCGTGAAGATTCCGGGGTAGAATAGGTCTTCAGCAATCCATGCTAGGCGATTAACAGGATCGGGTGGTCAGACCCGGACTTGGTTGATGCGTGTCATCAATCCCAATTGTGTGTATGGATGCTCATGATATTAATCACTGGATTGTCTGGTCCAGACTCGATTATTTGCTGTCATATAGCTGGAATATTAATGAGTGCGGTGTTAAACAACAAACCAACCAACTGGGTGAGACTTGGTTGATGCATGTCATCAATCCCAATTGTGTGTATGGATGCTCATGATATTAATCACTGGATTGTCTGGTCCAGACTCGATTATTTCGCTGTCATATAGCTGGAATATTACTGAGTGCGGTGTTAAACAACAAACCAACCAGCTGGGTGAGACAGTGGTGATTTATTGTAGCTGTCCTGTTTACTGGGTGAGGCAGTGGTGAGTCACTGTAGCTGTCCTGTTTAGTGGGTGAGACAGTGGTGAGTCACAGTAGCTTTGAAATTGTAGATATGTCCTGTTTGGTGGGTGAGACAGTGATGAGTCACTGTAGCGGTGAAATTGTAGCTATGTCCTTTTTAGGGGGTTTGATCCCCGGCTGCGTGATACCAAAAGACGATAAAAGATGGTACTTGTTGTTACCCTGTCTGGCACTCGGCATTAAAGGGCTAAAACAAGGACTGGTGGGCTTGGAGTCAGTATACTGTGTCTGAATGGGATATTCATGTTAAAGTTAAACCGCGGCATGGTATCTCAGTGAGCAAGCACTATAAATCGGCATCAGTCCTGACTAGTACAAGCAGCCACACAAACACACACACGTACAAGCATCCACAATCATCAGAATGCACATTGGTTATTTTCCTTCGAAAAGAGAATTAAGCCCTAGTTTCAAATCCATTTTCCTTCAATACACCAAATGTTTTGATTGAGAATGTATTTGAACTGGAAAACGTGAATGAGTTGGATTCCCACCTCGGTATCAGTTTCTATTTTTTGGCAAAAAAAGTGACCATGGCATGGAACAGACACTTTACTTAGAGAGAAATATGAAAATGTTAACTACAATGGGTGCACCAAGTGCTTAGTGACAATTAAAGAGTTTGTATTTATGCCAAGCTTTGCCATATAGAAATTCTCCATGATTGTAAACTTGTCATGGTTATTTTAGAACAGTTTGGCAATGCAGAAATATGTGATTACACAGATGTCTTGTGAAAGATGTACAAAGAATTAGAAGCTATTTGCCTTTTCACACAGGTGATATTGCTATGGAGAAGGTTAAGGTCACACGATATGTGACGGGCAAACGGCCAGACTATGCCCCAGAAAGCAGCAGTGATGAAGAACAAGGACAGTTTGAACTTGCACAAAAGAAAAAGATAGTTGTTGAGGAAACTGAAGAAGTTGAAACTACAGCAACTGAGATTCAAGACAGAAGATTAAGAAGACTGCAGGAAAGAGAGGTCGTTGACAGTGACGATGAAGATGACAGGTTGATATGACTTTTGCAGTGCTGTTGTTATCTGTGATTTGTTTCTAGCTCTGTGTGCAATTTTGCAGTTATAGAAATAATTGGTTAATATAAGCAAAGTTTGTTACAGATCAACCAAAATCATCCAACTTATGATTTTGTGACCCATATCCTGATACATCATGTACATATTTATTTAAGTGAGCTGATGCATTTTAATAATTATAAAAAACTAATATAACCAACATCTTATTTTCGATAATCTGCAGTAACTTCTTTGTTGGTGGGTAAATTTTGTATTCGTGGATACCTAGCATTTTATTGTATCTGTACAATGTGTGATGCTCATCGATCATGTTGATCACAATCATATATAAATGTGATCAAGCAAATTAATCATGGTTGTAAACATGGTAACATTGTACCTAATGCAGATATTAATTGCAAACATTGCATCTTGAGGACTGGGCATGGGATTCACCCAGCTTCAGCAGACATTTAACTCAGTAACCACACTTGCAGAGTTGCACGTCATCGACGGGAGGTCATTGAACCCGAGATCATTCAGTACATGTCTGAGGATGAAGATGATCGAGGTCGTGGTAAGGATGAGGAGGAGAGCAGTGAGGAAGAGGAAGAACTGGATGATGAAGTAAGAGCTGTGATATTTTTTTCTGCCAGATGTATGTATTTGATAGTTTTTGGTACAATTCTGCTTTGGTTTTACTTGTCATAGAATGCGTTTCATCACACTTGAAATATAGTACAAACTGATGACAAACCAAATTGACTGTAATTACTGACTTTAAGATACTAGTGCCTTCATCAAATGAGTGACTTACTTGAAAAAGGTACTAGCATTTTTAGAGTATTTTTTTTAATTGGGTACCAATGTCTGTACCGAAGATAAATGCCCAAAGTCAAGCCACTCTTTATTCAAACCACAATTGCTAATTGCCGTTTATAAATATTCTCCAGCATCAACATGCACACCCATATTTGAATACAATATGAAATAAGGAGGGATGGGGTAGCCTAGTGGTTAAAGTGTACGCTCATACCAAAGACCTGGGTTTAATTCCCCACATGGGTACAATGTGTAAAGTCCATTTAAAAGGAGAATTTGTTTGTCGTAAGAGGCAACAAACGGGATTGGGTGGTCAGGCTCACTGACTTGGTTGATGCATGTCATCGTATCCCAATTGTGTGGATCGATGCTCTTGATGTCAATCACTGGATTGTCTGGTCCAGACTCAATTTTTTTACAGACCGTCGTCATATAGCTTGAATATTGCTGAGTGGGGCGTTCAACAACAAATAATACAATACAATATGATGTTCCCCGCTGTGATATTGCTGGAATATTGCTCAACATGCTCAAAGCAGCGTAGAACAATACTCACTTACACAGTATGAAATAATACTGGATCTACTGTCAGTAATCGATATTACAAACGTTGTTGTCTGAGTTCAGGCATAGTAATAAAAGTGATGTGTAGGACATCTTCCCGAGGCAAGAGAGTTAACTGACCATAAAAGTCCAGTTTCCACCCTTGCCGAACTAGGCTGGTATTATGGAGTTACATTTTGGCTGGACTAACAAGCCTATGCATAGTCCAATCAAAATCGCTCACCGAAATCGAAATCCGGTTCGTACACTGTCGTACAGATTTCGGTCGACTGCAGGATTTGCAAAACATGTTCACCGCCAACTCGTTGTCTGCAGATATTTTCCAAATGTTTACATGTTTTTAATCAAGGTGCTCACGTGATTTGATGCATTTCGCGATGTAAGACCCGTTTTATCAGAATATAGATCTTGATTGTCGATCAGATCTAACTGACCGGGCGCCACCACTTTGAGTGAAGCAAACGCAAGTGAAACGAGAGGTGGAATCTGATTGGTCCATAGGAGAGGCTTAGAAGGGACATGACTGGTAATAGCCACTGGTGGCGCTACGATCGAGCCCAGGAATTCCAGCCTAGTTCGGCAAGGGTGGAAACTGGACTTTTAAAGTCAGTTAACTCTCTTGCCTCGGGAAGATGTGTGTAGGAATGACAGATATGTTTATTTATGTGATATAGACTTAAAAGATGAATTCTTGTGTTTCAGGAAATTGAACGTCGTAGGGCTTTGTTGAGGCAGCGTGCACTACAGAGAAGAGAGGATGAAGTGGAGGTATGTGTTGAGCAGATGAAATAAACTAATAGTATGACTATATCATCGCAGGGTCTGTATTATCACGGAATCTGTAAATGTCATAATCCACACCCCCTGTCGACTGTTTACTTATGCATAGCTAAGCACAATATTTCATCGCTTGATCGAATACAGGACTCGTTGCGCTACATCAAGGCTACTCCTAAGTATACACGTTAACGGAATGTTTTTAAAGTGGGATTACCCCTACCTCAATTCGAAATTGATTACAAAAGAACCCATTTGTTTAGACAAAGTCCCTTGACCCAAACTAGGTCGTATGCATACTGATTATACGTAATCCACAACAGGAAGTGAAGTAAAAAACATAATCCACACGTATCACACCACAAAATAGCCATACCGCCATAATATAGAGTTGCCTGCCCTTGAGTCGCTAATGACAGGTACTTTGTTTACTGAACTTGGTAAAGAAAATCAGCATCGATCAATCCTAATTAATGTGTCATAAAAATTAAGCAAAGAACAAGAAACATTTTGCATATGACATATTTAATAGGTCTGTAAGCGTGCGCCATTACGATCTATTATAAACTAACTACCGCGATAATGTAGTGTACAATTCTGTAACAAGAACTGAAAGCCCCCTTGCATAGTCGCTAGTCCGGAAGCCAGCTAGATACGCTGTCCTATTAGTTATTGCTATGATTTTGCAAGTGATCGTTTTGTCAACATGAATGTGACCTTTCCTAACTGTGAGTGATTGCTGGTTACTGTGAGTAGTATCTGTTTATCAATGAACAAGTTGTTTTTTTAACATGTGCTATGTTAAAGTGATTAAAGTCATCACATGTGATTCTTTTTCTCAAAACTCTCCTGTGTTTTGTATCTATATGATTGTATAACATGTAAATGATGAAATGGTTGGAACCATGTAATTCAGATTAGTAGAATTCTTGATAAGTAGATATTTTGTCTGTCCCTGAAATTGCATCAGGAAAGACGAGGTGAAATGGAATTTAACATTGCGTCCAAGATTATTGCACTTATATAGCAAAGTGCATTCACGGGTGTGGGTGTGTGGCTGCTTGTACTTGTCCGGACTGATGCTGATTTTATAGTGCTAGCCCACTGACATGCCGCAGTATAACATGAATACCCCACTCAGACACAGAATACTGACTTTGAGCCGACCAGTCCTTGTTTTAGCCCCTTAATGCCAAGAGCCAGGCGGGGTAACAAGTACCATCTGTTAACGTCTTTTGGTATGACATGGCTGGGATTGAACCCCTGACCTCTACTACCAGACCATGGGGGCGGTCCTACAGGAACAGAGTTGATGGTACATACTTTTTGGCACTACAAAGAATGAAGTGTCAGATCCTATGTGATTCTGGGCCACAAATATTCTTCAAAGAAAAGGTTCAAGGTTTGCTGTGAAATAATAGTAATCTTATTTCTCATACATTTCTCTGCAGGTCATTTTTAAGTCACTATTTACAATTCTTTCAGATGCCTTGCTTCTAATGACCTGTCCACAGGATAGGTTCAAAGGAATAGCATTACGTTATTTCATGTGACCATCTGTGAAATCTGTTTTAAAAGCAAATAACAGAATGCTCTATGTTTTTCCAGCAAGAGGAGGTGCTGGGGCGAGAGGACGAGAAGTCGGAGGGAGAGAGCGAGGAGGAGTCATCCGAGTATGAGGAGTACACTGACTCCGAAGAGGAGACAGGGCCGAGGCTGAAACCTGTTTTTGTCAGGAAGTATGAACTAACTTCAGCCACTTTTCTGTAAACTTGGTGTCAAGTCCGCAGGGGTTTGACCACATTCTAAACCGAGTGGCATTTTAGACTATGTGCCCCTGACATGCAATTTAGGAGAAAGTCGTTATTTTGGTCAAAATTGGGATTTATTTTAAATATTTTCTTAAATTCGGAGGTAATTAAGCATTGTATTTTGAGCTTTCAATCAATTCAATAATATTAAACTAAACATCAAAACCTATGTATTGGTTCTGTTATCAGTGAAATACAGGTTATCTCTACAAAGCTGTAAAATTAGCTATTACTAACAAGTATTAGTTATATATATTAACATGAATTGGGAATTTCAAATTTTAATTTGAGAATTTTGAATGACATTTGCTTGGGGCTGAATATCGGCCTCTGAGCAGGGCTGGATAGATCCCTGGTGGGGCCTTAATGATTCACCCAAGATTTGACCCATCATAATATTTCCCCAGGACCCCAGAAATCTATGCTGGTCGTACCGTGGGGATTCTGGGTTAGATAGGTCCCCAGAAATCTATGCTGGTCATACCATGGTGATTCTGGGTTAGAATAGGTCCCCAGAAATCTATGCAGGTCATACCATGGTTATTCTGGGTTAGAATAGATCCCCAGAAATATATGCTGTTCAAACTGTGGTTATTCTGGGTTGGAATAGGTTCCCAAAAATTCATGCCGGTCATTCTGTGGGGACTCCAGGTTAGAGCCCTGGGATGGGGTGCTAGGTCAATGAATTGACTTTGTCCTTGTTCCCCGATGTTGTGGGATGTTGCTCATCACGTCAGCCACTGGTTTGTCAGGCCCAGACTTGATTCTTTACAGGCTGCCGATGTAGCTGAGACATTGCTGACTGTTGCACAAGGCTACAAACAAGTGAAATAGTCGGCCATTGGTGGAAACATTTACAACTTGATTAATGATAGGAACCTATTGATGTCGCACAGACCTGTTGGAATTATATTTGTGACACAATCTCATTAAAATCAGACCTTAGTTCTCGCTACCGCTAAACAGAGATCTGAAGACATCCCATTAGGGGTCACATCAGAACGACCTTTCATCAGACCGATCAGTGCGTTGCTTACCAGATTATGTAAGTGACAGTCGGAATGTGATTTCTAATCATGCAATCTCGAAAACTTTAACATGGGGTATTCCGAACGATAGTTACGGGTTTAACAACTGAATCCTTACAATCTAGACCGTCTATGTTGTTTTTGTTCAGGTTTCAAATTTGTAATCGAGAATTTGTCAAAATATGTTTCGAAGCGTAGTCTTCAATTTGAAATTTGTGCCATAAAGCACGAGAAAGCTGCCTTCTTATTGGTCATTCCATTGGTTGGTCAAAGTTTGCGCAAGGTCGTTCTGATGTGACCCGTAATGGGATGTCCTCAGATCTTTGTTTAGCGGTAGCGAGAACTAAGATCTGATTTTAATGAGATTGATTTGTGACAAGGAACAATAGTTTGACGGTGGGCAGTATTTTGGAAATGTTTGTTTGAGTTGAGTAGTCACAGTGGTATTGATTCATGTCCTTCAGGAGGGATCGTATCACTATCCAGGAGAAGGAGAGAGAAGAGCAGAAATATCGGGACCAGGAGACAGATATGAAGAAAATGGCCGAGGACAGGAGGAAACAGACTCTCAAGGTTGGACTGCAGACATTGTTATTGACATGTTTCAGGTTGCAGACACTAGACAGTTGCAGACATTGTTACAGACACAATCGTAGACATTTAACTGATATTTTTACAGACATGGTTGCAGCCACTGGACACTTGTAGACATCGCTATAGACGCTAGACAGTTGCAACATTGTTCCAGACATGTTTGCAGACATGACCAAAGGAACTGGAAATGTCAAGCGCTAGTTGAGATATGACAGCCCAATTGCTGCATATCTACCTATATTGATAATTATATGGTATCCAGTATGACCATAGGTATAGCGGAGGGATGTTATACCAGAACCCACACTCGAAACTTTCCATTGCTGTGACACGACCAACAACTAAGTAGTGACACAGCATCCACTATTTGATTACAGCAACATTCCACGCCATGTCACACATGTTTCAAGTACAAAGAAAGAAGGGGCACGGGTAAACCAGTCATCTTAGGCGCCGCGATCCGCAGTGCAGAGTTGCATCCCTTGGCCACGCCAGAAACCTATGATTGTGGGTTCGAATCCTGGTTCGCCCCAATTATGTTTCTAGGTTTGTCAGCACCATACCCGTGCTCGTGGGTTTCACCGAAGTGGTAAACGTCTGAGACCTGCATCACTTCGGGCTTTCCTCCCACATTAAGCTGACACGCCGTGATATAACTGGAATACTGTTAAAAGCGGCGTTAAACCCAACTCACTCACTCACAAAGAAAGAGTTCTCGAGAAAATTACTTATGTCAAGTAATGTTGATATGATGAAGCCAGTGTGTTTTCAAATGTGGGTTACCCTATCTGGCGCTTGGCATTAAGGGGCTAAAACAAGGACTGGTTGGCTTGGAGTCAGTATACTGGGCTAGCACTATAAATCGACATCAGTCCGGATCAGTCCAAGCGGGCGGGCAGGCGGACGGACAGATCCACACAGACAGACAGGCAGAAACACATACATCTCTCTATAGGTGCAATAATTTTGGACGCACATTAAACCCCATTTCACCTCACTTCACCATCAAATGTGGGGATCTTATTGATGATATGATGTGGAGATCTAAGACAGATATGATCCTTATGATATAGTAGTGCATGTTGTGGTTTAAAGTTACATGGTATGCAGAATATAGTCATTGAGAGTCTTGATTGTATTGCTATTTATCCATTGTAAATTCATACATCCTATGTCGTATAAATACAAGTATACTTGACCTGGTGCTGTCTGCAGATGGTGGAGGACGAGGCACGGCGGGAGGTGGAGGAACAGCGCAAGATGAAGGATGCCCTGGACCTGGTGCCCACAGATGATGAGAATGATGAGGAGGAGTACGAGACCTGGAAGGTCCGAGAGTTGAGGAGACTCAAGCGAGATAGAGAAGAGAGGGAGAAGTAAGTACCTAGTGTTGGAGAGATTCTCTTATCGCTGACACTTATTGTTGAGGACTGGATTTTGTCTTACTAGCAAATGCAGGATGACAATAAACCAGAGATTCAAGGTACCTGCTGATTAAAAATCATCTTTGGTTGTCGGATCAGTGAACACGTGGTGACATGTGGTCCTGTGAACATCGCCCAGATCACAAATCAGGCAAAGTTAAGCAATGTTGGTAGCTAAATATGCCTATGGTAATCCAGCAGTGAATGGGTACCAGGTAGGATTGGATGGTAATGTGACTGATACCTTCTAACTGGATTTTGTCTTACAATAATGCTTGCTAGCAAATGCAGGATGAAAGTCATAGGTAGCTTGGGTTGTATACTTTCCAGGGAGTTGAGAATAAAAATTGACTGCACACTGATCCATTGACTAGGGTAATGATGGTTTCACTTAGCAAAAAGGAATTTGGCACAGTATAAATGGACTTTAAATGGAATCAGTTTTGAAATTCCTGAACACAGGTTATTTTCAATATTGTCTTAATCTTCTTTTTAAAAAAATGTATAATAATGTGTTTGCTGATCACAAGGAGAGAGAATCAGCTTAGTTTTTTTCACTCCTATTTCAAATATACCAGGATATATCACTGTAGCAATGTTTTTCTTCTGTCATATTTTTCATGAATATTCAAAGATATATGGTCACATAGTCCAGAGCTCCAGATAAGCTTTTGGTGTTGTGGGTATTTTACCCATGCATTTTAAAATCATTGGGTATCAGTAATTCTATCTTGGTATTCAAATTTCTGTTACCCACTAGTTTTTACACATGTGGGTATTTAAGTTAAATATTTAAAAACACTATTCATCTAGTCCCTGCAAACTGTAGAAATATGCAGTAAAATAAAATCCAAGCGTATCAAATACGCAACGAACATTACAGATACGCTACAGAAATAAAACTTGTGCATATCATCAAAATATTGTGAAGTAACCCTGCGTATTCGATTAGCAAAACAGCAACTTATTTTGAAATTATAAATGGACATTCCGTCAACCTTGCCAAACTCCACGATGACAGTTACATCATGATCATTTGCCATCACACTTTCTTGTGGAAGTATCGTGGTATTTTTGAGTCCTATAAAGCTCTCGAACCCACACAACACCATTTCTGATGCGTATTTTACGCAGATACGCAGCTTATCTGGAGCTCTGATACTCACAATGTGAAGGTGGGGAATGTGATGGTAATTAACCATGTATTTCCAGCACTGAGAAGGAGAAGACTGAGATTGAGAAGGTGCGGGGCATGACAGAGGAGGAACGTCGCGTGGAGTTCCGCAACAACCCCAGACAGGTGACCAACAAGGCACCGAAGGGGAAGTACAAGTTCCTGCAGAAGTACTACCACAGAGGAGCCTTCTTCATGGTCAGTGGGAAATACTGTTGTTCTTGCATCATTGTGACAGAACTTTGATGTAATGATATTGACTTTGAAGTCCACATGGATGTGGGTTTGAAGATTGCTGTTGATGTGTAGAACTGTTTCTTCAAATGGATATACCGAAATATATGCTAGCTTGTAGGTATTTTCAAATACAGGTGTGCACTTATTTCCTTGGGGGCAATTTAGTCTGCTGAAATACATTCTGTAGGTTTGCATGGATTGGTGCTCTTACCACTGCCTTTGTCGTGTCCTACTTGTTTATTTACAATCTGACATGTGTAAGCTCTAATATTGCCTTTTGGGTCTTTAAGCAATAATTATTCAATTACTCGACCGCCTCAGTGGTCTCGTGGTAGAGCATCCGCCCGGAGAGCGGAAGGTCCAGGGTTCGATCCCCGTCCGCGTCATACCAAAAGATGTTTAAAGATGTTAAAAGATGGTACTTGTTGTTCCCCTGGCTGTCGCACAGCATTAAGGGGTTAAAACAAGGACTGGTCGGCTCGGAGTCAGTATACTGTGTCTGAGTTGGGTATTCATGTTAAACTGAGGCATGGTATCTCAGTGAGCTGGTATTATAAATTGGCATGAGTCCCGACTAGTACAAACACACACACATCGTTATATAAGTGCAATAATCTTGGACACGACTTTAAACCCAATTTCACCTCCCCACTCAAATACTGTAGATTTTGACTTGAATTGAGCATGTTGAGACAAATTCAAACACAAGGCAGGAATAGAAATATAGTTTTTGTCAAGTGTGCCACATGGCATTCTCAAATTTGTTTCAGGTGTGTACTTTACAGATTAAATGTGGCAACAAGAAGAGTACTTTTGATCCATCTTCTAACTGGAGAACCGCCGTGATATTGCTGGAATATTGCTAAAAGCGGCGTAAAACCATACTCACTCACTCTAACTGGAGAATAATAGCTTTTCCATTGTTAGAGAATAAGCAGTTTCTGAAACCCTTGGTTAATCTTGTGAAGCGTATGATGCTTTAGGCAGTGTCCATGTGTTTATCAGTGTCCATATGAGTGAAAGTTCCTTTATTCCTTGCATTGTTTAATCATGATAATAAACATCTTATTCCCTGCTTCCTTTAATCATGATAATAAACATCGTCACAAGGTATTTTTTGTTAAAACGAACATGATTTGGTAATGTGCCCTTCCTCATGTTCAGGCAATAGGAACTAACCTTAACTGTGCCAGGAGGATTTTAATCTTTCCAGTGTCAAAATGATACAAGGAATTTCAAACTCTGAAAGGTTATGTGTCATTTATTATGATATGAATCTTGTCTTTGTGAGTAGACAGGTTGTTGTAGCTCTTGTTCGTGTTGCAGGACGACGACGAAGGCGTCTTCAAGAGAGACTTCTCCGCTCCAACACTGGAAGATCACTTTGACAAAACTATCTTGCCTAAAGTCATGCAGGTATGTATTCAGACTCAACCACAGGTAACAGTGTCTGAACATTCTGTATTTACCAGGTTTACTCTGTAGTTACATGGGGCGGTGGGGTAGCCACTCGTCACCCCGAAGACCCTGGTTCAGTGCCCCACATGGGTACAATGTGTGGAGCCCTTTTCTGGTGTCCCTGCCGTGATATTGCTGGAATATTGCTAAAAGCTGCGTAAAGCCATACTCACTCACTCACTGTATTTAAAATGGTTAGGCAAACATTTCGAAACAATTTGCGTACAGAATGTTTTGCTACTACTGCAGACACACAAAAGACACACAAAGGAAGGTTTGATTGAAAACTAAGTTAAAATGAACTGAAATAGTATGCATTACACATGTTAGGGGCTAGTCATTTCATTAAAGGCTGGGTTGGCTGAATTGGTATTAGGACTGTATCATATTTTGCTGTCCCAGCCACTTTTATGTAACCTTTTTTTCATGCCTCAAACTTCCATAAGGTTGGACCCAGTACTGCCTGTATTAATTTTTAGTTGGTACTGACATTGTTAATATTGCTTGCAGGTCAAGAATTTTGGTCGTTCTGGACGGACAAAGTACACACACTTACTTGACCAGGACACGACCCAATTTGATTCCCCCTGGATATCTGACACAGCTCAGAATCTCAAGTTCCACGCTGCCAAGGGTGGCGGGATGAAGCAGCATTTTGATAAACCCACCGTCAAGAGGAAGTAACAGATGCACTGCCATTTTGAACTGTGAACATGATGGATTCTTCAGATCTTAGATATTTAAGGCCAAAAAATATAAGTAATATTTTTCGGTCTTTTGTTGGGTTGAAAATGATGTGAGCCGGACCAGAAATATAATTCTTTTTAATGGGGGACTAAAACAACTTGCCCTCATTCTGGCTATAAACAGAGTTGGCCATTGTGTTACTGGACTCCAGGAGCAGGATTCAATTGAAGAGGATCTGCATCAAGTGTAAGAACTAGAGGAGAGACCTGACTGAGATGGAGTAAGTTGCATTAAAGACTGCAGTGCAATGATCAGGCTGCACAATATCAAATCCAGAATTCTGAAAGATACATATGAATAGGTGCCCCTTGTATTGTGAGATATTGCCTCAAGACGATGGGCTGGGGCTGATCATTTATCATGGGGCTGATCACTTTTCGTGGGGGAAGAATCAGGGGACCACAGTTACCATTTGGGGGAGGGAGGGGGCGAACCTAAATTTTGGTCAAGATCATGAAGAACATTGGCAGTTGTTGCTTTTTGAAAATATCGATGATTAAGAAGTTTTTACAACATAGTTATTTGTTGGATTCACAAAAAAGATCAGGATAAATTATGGTGGTTCTCAAGATAACATATTTGGCAATTGTTTGTCGAGGGGCAGTTTTGAACATTAACACCCTTCACCCTCACAAGAAAGAGTTCATGGTGGGAGGAAGTAAGCGTGATTCATTGCCATACAGATGTCATCTGGACGATTCTCAAGGATTTATTTTTTAGAATAATTTTAATAAATCATGCATTGTAAATAATATCATTGTCATACGTTGTATGCATTAAAAAGATGAGGTGTAAGAGACAGAGTTGGGCATCTTTTTGCAACGTGTGTCTACTTAAAAAAAACCTTTGCTGGGTCACCCAAGTCACCCCTGAACACCCAATCCAGGTATTGTAAGACAATGTCTGTCTGGGTTAAACAGGATCCTGTAGTCAGGCTAAATGATAACTCTTAAAATATGCTCCCCTTTACTGTGCACCCAGATCTTGATTCAGTTGTTTACAGACCCCGTTGTAATGCTGGGGCTGGTATTAGGAAATAAACACATTTGCTCTTTACTTCTAAGCAGCAGGTGGCGGTCGGGTAACCAATTGTTAAAGCGTTCGCTGGTCACGCCAAAGACCAAGTTTCGATTCCTGACATGGGTACAATGTGTGAAGCCCATTTCTGGTGTCCCCCGCCGTGATATTGCTGGAATATTGCTAAAAGCTGCGTAAAACCATACTCACTCACTCACTCACTCACTCTAAGCAGCAGAATGCCTGCCTTTGTACGAAGCAGAGGTAATACAAAATTAACATATATTTACGGGAAAAAGTAACTGTGCTTCATATAAAGTGTAAATGTTTCCTTATTGAAACCATAATATTTGGTCATTATCATTTGCAGAAGCTTGAGGTCTTTGATAAACTGCCCCACAAGGCAGTGACCTCTAACAAATACTGCGAGGCAACTCAAATACCATTCAAAGCGGCTCTGTTCACTCCACTGATTTGACCAATGAACGAAGAGCATTGTTTGTCCTAGTCGATTGTTCAAGTTGTTTTTGAAAAGAAATGTCATCACCTATTCTCCCTTTTTTTATTCCTTAGTAAGCTGACATTAATATTTATTCGAAAAAAAGTAGATTTATAGGAAGCTCACATTTGGTAGAAGGACGCTTCAATACATTCAAGTTAAAATTGTCATTTTTTATTCGCCCTTTTACTCTTTGATATATATATGGAAAGGGTTTTGTCGCGTTTATTAGTCTGACATTAAGAATATTAGTAAAAATCAATATGTGGGATATGAACAAACATATTCTCGCACAAGAACGTTCCAATACATTCGTATTAAAAAGGGTCTCTTTTACAAAATTCTCTTTTATTCGCCCTTATATTCCTTGTCAAATTATCATTAATAAATATTCGAAAAAAGACCATACATAACAAGACATAACTCCAAAATACCTGAAGTATACTATAATTACTTATATTCGTCAACAAAGATAAAGGGCAGTTTAATGTCATATTTTCTTAATTCGTTTTTATATATTGCCCGTTAACACAACAATGCGTCTAGGAATGGGTTTTGAGGAACACAGAAAAGCTTTTATTACCTGGAAACATATCATGAAAATCACATCATGTTTTCAAGCAGAATTTTACTCATTAACACAGTGTTTAATGTATAAAGTTCAGTTATTAACCAAGTTTATCCTTTTGAAAAGTGAACGATATCTAAAACGCGTAATGGCATCTCATTCCAAAAGACATGAAGTTAATTCGATTTTTTGGGCCTTGGTGAAAAATATTACAAAAATATCGATAATGCATTTTTAATGTGTGTCAGTATATGAAGGATCTTCTTTGGTTAAGCAGCTATTAGGGTTGTACAAAATGAATAAACCTTTCTACTTAGCTGGCAGTGCACTTATATTGCCTTTAAACTGAGGGGCGGTCGGGTAGCCTAGCTAGTGGTTAAAGCGTTCGCTCGTCACGCCGAAGACCCGGGTTCGAATCCCGACATGGGTACAATGTGTGCAGCCCATTTCTGGTGTCCCCCGCCGTGATATTGCTGGAATTTTGCTAAAAGCGGCATAAAACCATACTCACTCACTCTAAGCAGCAGAATGTCTGCCTTTGTACGGAGCAGAGGTAATACAAAATTAACATATATTTACGGAAAAAAGTAACTGTGCTTCATATAAAGTGTAAATGTTACCTTATTGAAACCCTAATATTTGGTCATTATCATTTGCAGAAGCTTGAGGTCTCTGATAAACTGCCCCACGAAGGCAGTGACTTCTAACATATACTGTGAGGCAACCCAAATACCATTCAAAGCGGCTCTGTTCACTCCACTGATTTGACCAATGAACGAAGAGCGTTGTTTGTCCTAGTCGATTGTTCAAGTTGCTTTTGAAAAGAAATGTCATCACCTATTCTCCCTTTTTTTATCCCTTAGTAAGCTGACATTAATATTTATTCGAAAAAAGACGATTTATAGGAAGCTCACATTTGGTAGAAGGACGCTTCAATACATTCAAGTTAAAATTGTCATTTTTTATTCGCCCTTTTACTCTTTGATATATATATGGAAAGGGTTTTGTCGCGTTTATTAGTCTGACATTAAGAATATTAGTAAAAATCAATATGTGGGATATGAACAAACATATTCTCGCACAAGAACGTTCCAATACATTCGTATTAAAAAGGGTCTCTTTTACAAAATTCTCTTTTATTCGCCCTTATATTCCTTGTCAAATTATCATTAATAAATATTAGAAAAAAGACCATACATAACAAGACATAACTCCAAAATACCTGAAGTATACTATAATTACTTATATTCGTCAACAAAGATAAAGGGCAGTTTAATGTCATATTTTCTTAATTCGTTTTTATATATTGCCCGTTAACAGAACAATGCGTCTAGGAATGGGTTTTGAGGAACACAGAAAAGCTTTTATTACCTGGAAACATATCATGAAAATCACATCATGTTTTCAAGCAGAATTTTACTCATTAACACAGTGTTTAATGTATAAAGTTCAGTTATTAACCAAGTTTATCCTTTTGAAAAGTGAACGATATCTAAAACGCGTAATGGCATCTCATTCCAAAAGACATGAAGTTAATTCGATTTTTTGGGCCTTGGTGAAAAATATTACAAAAATATCGATAATGCATTTTTAATGTGTGTCAGTATATGAAGGATCTTCTTTGGTTAAGCAGCTATTAGGGTTGTACAAAATGAATAAACCTTTCTACTTAGCTGGCAGTGCACTTATATTGCCTTTAAACTGAGGGGGCGGTCGGGTAGCCTAGCTAGTGGTTAAAGCGTTCGCTCGTCACGCCGAAGACCCGGGTTCGAATCCCGACATGGGTACAATGTGTGCAGCCCATTTCTGGTGTCCCCCGCCGTGATATTGCTGGAATTTTGCTAAAAGCGGCATAAAACCATACTCACTCACTCTAAGCAGCAGAATGCCTGCCTTTGTACGGAGCAGAGGTAATACAAAATTAACATATATTTACGGAAAAAAGTAACTGTGCTTCATATAAAGTGTAAATGTTACCTTATTGAAACCCTAATATTTGGTCATTATCATTTGCAGAAGCTTGAGGTCTCTGATAAACTGCCCCACGAAGGCAGTGACTTCTAACATATACTGTGAGGCAACCCAAATACCATTCAAAGCGGCTCTGTTCACTCCACTGATTTGACCAATGAACGAAGAGCGTTGTTTGTCCTAGTCGATTGTTCAAGTTGCTTTTGAAAAGAAATGTCATCACCTATTCTCCCTTTTTTTATCCCTTAGTAAGCTGACATTAATATTTATTCGAAAAAAGACGATTTATAGGAAGCTCACATTTGGTAGAAGGACGCTTCAATACATTCAAGTGTGACATGTTTGGTATGCAGCCAAGTCACCAAGTTTGCGGGTGAGTGAGTATTGCTTAACACCACATCAGCAATCTTGCAGGTATTCGGGGCTACCAAGTCACTGCCTGAACACCCAATCCATCAGGTCTTGTAAGCCCATGTCTGTCTGGGTTAAACAGGATCCTGTAGTCAGGCTAAATGATGACTCTTAAAATATGCGCCCCTTTTCTGAGTGAGATAGTGAGTATGGATTTACGCCGCTTTTAGCAATATCCCAGCAATTTCACGGTGGGGGACACCAGAAATGGGCTTCACACATTGTACCCATGTCGGGAATCGAGCCCAGGTCTTCAGCGTGACGAGCGAACGCTTTAACCACTAGGCTACCCGACCGCCCCTCCCTTTTCTGAGCACCCAGATCTTGATTCAGTTGTTTAAAGACCCTGTCCTATTGCTGGGGCCGGGATTAGGAATTAAACACATTTGCTCTTTACTTCTAAGCAGCAGAGGGGCGGTCGGGTAGCCTAGTGGTTAAAGCGTTTGCTCGCCACGCCGAAGACCCGGGTTCGATCCCTGACATGTGTACAATGTGTGAAGCCCATTTCTGGTGTCCCCCGCCGTGATATTGCTGGAATTTTGCTAAAAAGGCATTAAAACCATACTCACTCTCACTCTAAGCAGCAGAATGTCTGGCTTTTCAACGAAGCAGAGGTAATACAAAATTAACATATATTTACGGGAAAAAGTAACTGTGCTTCATATAAAGTGTAAATGTTCCCTTATTGAAACCCTAATATTTGGTCATTATCATTTGCAGAAGCTTGAGGTCTCTAATCAACTGCCCCACGAAGGCAGTGACTTCTAACATATACTGTGAGGCAACTCAAATACCATTCAAAGCGGCTCTGTTCACTCCACTGATTTGACCAATGAACGAAGAGCGTTGTTTGTCCTAGTCGATTGTTCAAGTTGCTTTTGAAAAGAAATGTCATCACCTATTCTCCCTTTTTTTATCCCTTAGTAAGCTGACATTAATATTTATTTGAAAAAAGATTTATAGAAAGCTCACATTTGGTAGAAGGACGCTTCAATACATTCAAGTTAAAATTATGATCATTTGTTTGCCCTTTTACTCTTTGATATATATATGGAAAGGGTTTTGTCGCGTTTATTAGTCTGACATTAAGAATATTAGTAAAAATCAATTTGTGGGATATGAACAAACATATTCTCGCACAAGAACGCACCAATACATTCGTATTAAAAAGGGTCTCTTTTACAAAATTCTCTTTTATTCGCCCTCATATTCCTTGTCAAATTATCATTAATAAATATTAGAAAAAAGACCATACATAACAAGACATAGCTCCAAAATACCTGAAGTATACTATAATTACTTATATTCGTCAACAAAGATAAAGGGCAG